TTACTTTATTCCCATTATTATTTTAATTTTATTATTTTTCTATTAACATTTCTTTAATTATTTTACATTTCTTTTTAATTCTTTCCAATTTGAATTGACCTTTATTTTAAATTATTTATTATTTTAATGAACACTTTTTATTCCATTCTTTTGAATTCCTTTAATTTAATATTTCTATTCAGTTTTAATATGAAATTAATATTTAATATTTTGATTTATTCTTATTTTAATTAGAATTTTAAATGTTATTTAAATATACGTAAATTTTATTCACATTCCTCCCCCCACCAATCCATGGGAGAATCATCCCAAAACCCCCCAAAAATATGGGAAAATCATCCCAAAAATTCTCCAAAAAATGCTGGAAAATTCCCAAAAAATTCCCAAAATTCCAGTAAACCCCACCCAATCCATGGGAAAATCATCCAAATAAAACCGAGAATAATAAAATCCATTTTCCCCAAAATTAATCCACATTTTTCTGATTTTCTCCCATTTTTTCCTGAATTTGTCCCATTTTTTTCCCCTGAATTTCTCCCATTTTTTTCCCTGAATTTCTCCCATTTTTTCCCTAAATTAATCCACATTTCTCCCATTTTTCCCTCTCAATTTTGGGATTTTCCTCACAATTGAGATTTTTTCCCACATCTTGGAATTAAAACTTGACCCTAAACTTGGTTTTATCCCAAATTCCACCATTTTTTCATGGATTTATCCAATTTTTTCCCAAATTCCTCCAGATTTCCATGGATTTAATCCCTTTTTTTCCGTAATTCCACCAGATTTCCATGGATTTTTCCCGTTTTTCCGTCTCAGCTTTGGGATTTCCCTCTCCACCGATTTCCCTCAACCTCCTGGAATTAAAACTCGGTTTTTAACCCCAAAACTCAACGGAATCTCCCAAATTCCACCAGATTTCCATGGATTTAATCCCTTTTTTTCCGTAATTCCACCAGATTTCCATGGATTTTTCCCGTTTTTCCTTCTCAGCTTTGGGATTTCCCTCTCCACCGATTTCCCTCAACCTCCTGGAATTAAAACTCGGTTTTAACCCCCAAAACTCAACCAAATCTCCCAAATTCCTCTGTTATTTTCCCAAATTCCACCAGATTTCCATGGATTTTTCCTGGTTTTCCGTCTCAGCTTTGGGATTTCCCTCTCCACCGATTTCCTCAACATTTTGGGCTGGAATCTTGACCCTAAACTCGGTTTTAATGCCCAAAACTCAACGGAATCTCCCAAATCCCACCAGATTTCCATGGGTTTTTCCCGTTTTTCCTTCTCAGCTTTGGGATTTCCCTCTCTACCGATTTTCCTCAACCTCCTGGAATTAAAACTCGGTTTTAACCCCCAAAACTCAATGGAATCTCCCAAATTCCACCAGATTTCCATGGGTTTTTCCCATTTTTCCTTCTCAGCTTTGGGATTTCCCTCTCCACCAAAAATCCTGGAATTAAAACTCGGTTTTAACCCCCAAAACTCAACCGAATCTCCCAAATTCCACCAGATTTCCATGGATTTTTCCCGGTTTTCCATCTCAGCTTTGGGATTTCCCTCTCCACCAATTTTCCTCAACCTCCTGGAATTAAAACTCGGTTTTAACCCCCAAAACTCAACCGAATCTCCCAAATTCCACCAGATTTCCATGGATTTTTCCCGGTTTTCCATCTCAGCTTTGGGATTTCCCTCTCCACCAATTTCCCTCAATCTCCTGGAATTAAAACTCGGTTTTAACCCCCAAAACTCAACCGAATCTCCCAAATTCCACCAGATTTCCATGGATTTTTCCCGTTTTTCCGTCTCAGCTTTGGGATTTCCCTCTCCACTGAATTTTCCTCAACATTTTGGGCTGGAATCTTGACCCTAAACTCAGTTTTAACCCCAAAACTCAACCGAAGCTCCCAAATTCCTCCATTATTTTCCCAAATTCCACCAGATTTCCATGGATTTTTCCCGTTTTTCCATCTCAGCTTTGGGATTTCCCTCTCTACCGATTTCCCTCAACCTCCTGGAATGAAAACTCGGTTTTAACCCCCAAAACTCAACCGAATCTCCCAAATCCCTCACTTTTTTTTTACTTTTCCCCGCCAGATTCCCGTTTTTCCCGACGATGGAAAAGCTTTTGCTCCCTCTCCTCTTCTTCTTCTCCACCACGACGGCCTCGAACTCCCCGCCCTGCCCCAAGCGCTGCTCGTGCCAGAACCTCTCGCCGTCCTTCACCATCCTCTGCACCAAAACCGGGCTGCTCTTCGTGCCGGCCGGCATCGACCGGCGCACGGCCGAGCTGCGCCTCATGGACAACTTCATCACCGTCCTGCGCAAGCGCGACTTCGCCAACATGACCCAACTCATCCACCTGACCTTGTCCCGCAACACCATCAGCCAGATCATGCCTTACGCCTTCTCCGACCTCAAGGGCCTCCACGCCCTCCACCTGGACAGCAACCGCTTGACGTCGATTAACGAGGATCATTTCAAGGGGTTAATTAACCTGCGGCATTTGATCCTGAGCAACAACCAGCTCAGCTTCATCTCGCCCAAGTCTTTGGATGATTTCTTGGAGACCATCGAGGATTTGGATTTGTCCTACAATAATTTGGTGGATGTTCCGTGGGCCACCGTGGCCAAGCTGTCCAACGTCAACACGGTGAGTTTGGATCACAACCTCATCGAGTTCGTGCCCGAGGGGATTTTCTCCAACCTCCACAAGCTGGCCAGGTTGGACATGACCTCCAACAAGCTGAAGAAGATCCCGCCGGATCCGCTCTTCTCCCGCATCCCCGTTTACGCCAAATCCAAAGGTTCCCCGCTGACCTCGTTGGTGCTGAGTTTCGGCGGGAACCCCCTGCACTGCAACTGCGAGCTGGTGTGGCTGCGGCGCCTGACGCGCGAGGACGATCTGGAGACGTGCGCCTCGCCGCCGGAGCTGATGGGCAAATACTTCTGGAGCATCCGCGAGGAAGAGTTCGTCTGCGAGCCGCCCATGATCACCCACCGCACGCCCAAACTCGCCGCCGCCGTCGGCCAAAGCGCCTCCCTGAAGTGCAAAGCCATGGGCGACCCCGAGCCCTACGTGCGCTGGATCGCGCCCGACGGCAAACTGGTGGCCAACACCTCCAGGACGGTTTCCTACGAGAACGGGACTTTGGATATTTTGGAGGCGGCCTTGGGGGATCAAGGAACCTTCACCTGCATCGCCTCCAACGCCGCCGGCGAGTCCACGGCGCCGGTGGAGTTTCGGGTGGTGCCGGACGGCAACGGCACCGAGTGCGAGGAGGAGGAGGGGAGGAAGGCGGCGACGGCGCGGCCGGAGCCGTCGGATATCCTGATTTCGGCCAAATCCAGCTTTTCCAACGACTCCAGGCTGGAGCGGGGGGACGGCGGGGGGGTGGTGGTGGCCGAGGTGACGGCGACGTCGGCGCTGGTGCGGTGGCCGCCGCAGGAGGAGCTGGAAGGGCTGAGGATGTACCAGATCCAGTACAACAGCTCGGCCGACGAGATCCTGGTTTATCGGTGATTGTGGCCGGAGAAACGTTGGGATTGGCGGGTTTGGGAATGGGGAGTGGGGAAAATGGGTGGGAAGTGGGAAAAGGGTGGGAAGTGGGGGAAATGGGTGGGAAATGGGGAAAAATGGGATGGAAGATGTAAAAAAATAGGTGGAAAATGTGAAATAATGGGTGGGAAAAATGGGTGGGAAATGGGAAAATGGGTGGGAAATGGAAAATGGGTGGGAAGTGGGGGAAATGGGTGGGAAGAGGGAAAAAGGGGTGGGAAATGGGGGAAATGGGTGGGAAGTGGGGGAAATGGGTGGGAAGTGGGAGAAAGGGGTGGGAAATGGGAAAATGGGTGGGAAGTGGGAAAAAGGGGTGGGAAGTGGGGGAAAATGGGTGGGAAATGGGGAAAAATGGATGGGAAGTGGGGAAAAAGGGGATGGAAAATGTAAAAAAATAGGTGGAAAATGTGAAATAATGGATGGGGAAAATGGGTGGGAAATGGGAAAGTGGGTGGGAAGTGGGAAAATGGGTGGGAAATGGGGGGGAAATGGGTGGGAAGAGGGAAAAAGGCGATGGAAAATGTGAAATAACGGGTGGGAAATGGGAAAAAGGGGTGGGAAATGGGGAAAATGGGTGGGAAATGGGGGAAAATGGGTGGGAAATGGGAAAATGGGTGGGAAGTGGGGGAAAATGGAAGTGGGGAAAAAGGGGGTGGAAAATGTAAAAAAATAGGTGGAAAATGTGAAATAATGGGTGGGAAAAATGGCTGGGAAATGGGGAAAGGGGGATGGAAAATGTGATGATGGGGTGGAAAAAAAAAGAAAAATGGCAGGGAAAATGGTGGAAGAAATGGGGAAAAACCACCAAAAATTGGGATAAATGGGTGAAAAATTTGGGGAAAAGTGATGGAAGAGGGGCTGGAAAATAGGGGGAAAAGGGCCAAAAGTCATGGGAAAAAATGGAAAAATGGCAGGGAAAATGGTGGAAAAAATGGGGGAAAACCCACATAAAAAGGGAAAAAAGGAGAAAAAATGGGAAACAATGAAAAAAATGGGATAAATGGGTGAAAAAATTGGGGAGAAGCGATGGAAGAGGGGTTGGAGAATAGGGGGAAAAGGGCCAAAAGTCATGGGAAAAAATGGAGAAATGGTAGGAAAAATGGTGGAAGAAATGGGGAAAAACCCCCAAAAACTGGGAAAAATCCCCCAAAAATTGGGAAAAATCCCCAAAAATTGGGAAAAAGCCCCCAAAACCTGGGAAAATCGCCCCAAACTGGTGACGAGCCGGAACGCCGCTGTCGTTGCAGGATGATCCCGGCGCCCAGCGCCTCCTTCTCGCTGTCGGACCTGGCGCCGGGCCGGGGTGGGAAATGGGTTGGAAAAGTGGGTGAAAAACTTGGGAAAAAGAGATGGAAAAGGGGCTGAAAAATATCGGAAAAAGGGCCAAAAGTTGTGGGAAAAAATGGAGAAATAGCAGGAAAAATGGTGGAAAAAATGGGGAAAATCCCCCATAAAAAGGGAAAAAAGGAGAAAAAATGGGAAACAATGAAAAAAATGGGATAAATGGGTGAAAAATTTGGGGACAAGTGATGGAAGAGGGGTTGGAGAATAGGGGAAAAAGGGCCAAAAGTCGTGGGGAAAAATGGAAATATGGCAGGAAAAATGGTGGGAAAAATGGGGAAAACCACCAAAAATTGGGAAAAATCCCCCAAAAACTGGGGAAAACTCCCCAAAACTGGTGACGAGCCGGAACGCCGCTGTCGTTGCAGGATGATCCCGGCGCCCAGCGCCTCCTTCTCGCTGTCGGACCTGGCGCCGGGCCGCGCCTACGAGCTCTGCGTGCTGGCCGTGTTCTCGGACGCGCGCAGCTCGCTGCCGGCCACGCGGCCGCTGGGCTGCCGCCGCTTCACCACGCGGCCGCCGGCGCGGCCGTGCCGCTCGCTGCAGGCGCAGTTCCTGGGCGGCACCATGATCATCGTCATCGGCGGCATCATCGTGGCCTCGGTGCTGGTGTTCATCTTCATCCTGCTGGTGCGCTACAAGGTGCACGGCGCGCCGGCCAAGGGCACCGCGCACGTCTGCTCCCAGACCAACGGTGCCGCCGCCGCCCTCGGCCGCTCCGCCTCCAAGCTGGAGCAGCTGGAATGTTCCGGAACCCTGGGCAAGGGCAGGGCCGGGGAGAGGCCGGGGGAGAAGGGGGAAGGGGCTGAGGTGGGGTCGTGATGGGGAATGATGGGTTGGGGTTGGTTCTGGATGGGTTCTGGAGGTCCTGGTTTGGTTCTGGAGGTCCTGGGTTGGTTCTGGAGTGGTCCTGGATTGGTCGTGGATTGGTCCTGAAAGTCCTGGTTTGGTTCTGGAGTGGTTCTGGTTTGGTTCTGAAGGTCCAGGTTTGGTTCTGGAGGTCCTGGAGTGGTCCTGGATTGGTTGTGGATTGGTCCTGGATTGGTCCTGGATTGGACGTGGATTGGTCCTGAAAGTCCTGGTTTGGTTCTGAAGGTCATGGATTGGTTCTGGGTTGGTTCTGGTTTGGTTCTGGAGGTCCTGGAGTGGTCCTGGATTGGTCGTGGAGTTCCAGAATCGATCCAGGATGGGTCCAGGAGATCCAAGATAATCCAGAATCAATCCAGGATGGGTCCAGGAGATCCAAGACAATCTGGAATCGATCCCGGATGGGTTCAGGAGATCCAAGACAATCCAGAATCGGTCCCGGATGGGTTCAGGATTGGTCCGGGAGGTCCAAGATGGATCCAGGATGGATCCAGGATGGGTCCAGGATGGGTGGGCAGAACCCGGGTGGCTCCGTGGCCATGGTGGCCTCGGTGCTGGTGTTCATCTTCATCCTGCTGGTGCGCTACAAGGTGCACGGCGCGCCGGCCAAGGGCACCGCGCACGTCTGCTCCCAGACCAACGGCGCCGGTGCCGCCCTCGGCCGCTCCGCCTCCAAGCTGGAGCAGCTGGAATGTTCCAGAACCCTGGGCAAGGGCAGGGCCGGGGAGAAGGGGGAGGGGGCTGAGGTGGGGTCGTGATGGATCCATTCCAACCAGTCCAGAACCTCTGGAACTCCTCCAGAACCTCTCCAGAACCTCTGGAACTTCTTCAGAACTTCTGCAGAACCTCTGGCACTGCTCCAAGGACCTTCCTGGATCCATTCCAATCCATTGAGAACCTCCAGAACTTCTCCAAGGACACCTCTGGATCCATTCCAAGGCTTCCAGAACCGCTCCATAGACCCTTCTGGAGTAATCCCAACGCCTCCAGAACTCCTCTGGAACCTCTCCATGGACACCTCTGGATCCATTCCAACCCATCCAGAACCTCCAGAACTCCTCCAGAGCCTCTGGAACCTCTTCATGGACACCTCTGGATCCATTCCAACCCATCCAGAACTCCTCCAGAACCTCCAGAACTCCTCCAGAACCTCTGGAACCCCTTCATGGACACCTCTGGATCCATTCCAAGGCTTCTAGAACTTTTGGAACTCATCCAGAACCTCCAGAACTTCTCTGGAACCTCCAGAACTTCTCCAGAACTTCTCCGGAACTTCTCCGGAATTCCTTCAGAACTTCTCCAGAACCTCCAAATTTTCTCCATAATGGCCCCAAGGACCCCTCTGGATCCATTCCAGGGCTTCCAGAACCATCCAGAACCTCCAGAACTCCTCCAGAACCTCTGGCAGCGCTCCCAGGTCCCTCTGGGGTTCCGGAAGGTTCCGGCAGCGCCGTGAGGACTCAGCACAGCTCCGGAGTTCCGGAAGGTTCCGAAATGTTCCGGAATGTTCCAGCGGCTCCCCAGGGACTCTGCGGCGCTCGGGGGATCCGGAAGGTTCCGGAAGGTTCCGTTTCGGTGCCGCCGGCGCCGTTTTTACGCCCATCGGGCTCAGAGTTATTTTTTTAAACTTCTCGTCCACGGACGCCCCGCGGGAATTTCCTTTGGGAATTTCGGATCCCCCCCGAGCCTCCACTCCCACAGGGGATTTATTGTATTTTATTTTAATATAATTTTAATTTAAATTTAATTTTAATTTATTTTATTTTTATCTGTTTTTGTTGAGCACTTTCCAGGATGTTTCTTGATTTAAAAAAAAAAATTATTTTAGCTTTTTGACACTTATTTATGTATTTATGTATTTATGTGTTTATTTATCTATCTATTTATTTATTATTTCCTATTTATTTTGGGGGATTTTTTGGGGAAATTAAAAAATTTTTGTGGGGGGAATTAAATTTATTTTTTTGGGTTTTTTTTTGAATTTTTGGGAGATTTTTTTCAAACTTTTTTGGTGTTTTTTTTGTTTGTTTTTCCAGCGTTGGATCCGAGACTTTTTTTGGTAAAAAAAAAAAAGGACAAAATAACAAAAAAAAGGGAAAAAAAAGAAGAAAATCCCGGGATTTTTTTTGTTTCTGAATCCGGCTGGGAATTCTCTCAGGATCCTGGGATTCCCCAAAAAAACCAAAAAAAAGCTGGAATTCTTCACCGCTCCGAGGATTTGCTATAAAAATTCTTAATTTCGCAATTCCGAGTGGGTTTTTTGGGGGAATTTGGGGGGGTTTGGGGTGGGGAATTGCAGGAGATCCTTAAAAAAAAAGGGAATGGGGAAAATTGGGGAAAATTTGGAATAAAAATGGGAGAAATTGGGAAAAATTAGGGGAAAACGGAAGAAATTGAGGAAAAATGGGGGAAATTTGGAATAAAAATGGGGGAAATTTGGGAAAAATGATGGAAAAATGGGGGAAATTGAGGAAAAATTGATGGAAAATGGGGAAAATTTGGAATAAAAATGGGGGAAATTGAGGAAAAATGGGGAAAAAATGGGGGAATTTACAGAAAATGAGGAAAAATGAGGAAATTAGGAATAAAATTGCGGGAAATTTGGAAAAATGAGGAAAAAATGGGGGAATTGACAGAAAATGAGGAAAAATGGGGAAATTTGGAATAAAATTGTGGGAAATTTGGGAAAAATGATGAAAAAATGGGGGAAATTTGGAATAAAAATGGGGGAAATTTGGGAAAATGAGGAAAAAATGGAATTGACAGAAAATGAGGGGAAATGGGGAAATTTGGAATAAAATTGTGGGAAATTTGGGAAAAATTAGGGAAAATGGGGGAAATTGAGGAAATTTGGAATAAAAATGGGGGATATTTGGGAAAATGAGGAAAAATGGGCAAAATTCGGGAAAAATGAGGAAAAAAATGGGGAAAGTTGAGGAAGAATGGGGGAAATTTGAAATAAAAATGGATATTTGGGAAAATGAGGAAAAATGGGGAAAGTTGAGGGAAAGTGGGGAAAATTTGGATAAAAATGGGGAAAATTGAGGAAAAATGGGGGAAATTTGGAATAAAAATGGGGAAAATTGGAGAAAATTGAGGGAAAATTGAGGAAAAATGAGGTGGGGACATCCAGGGTGACACTGGGGACATCCAGGGTGGCACTGGGGACACCCAGAAGTGGCACTGGGGACATCCAGGGTGGCACAGGGACCCCAGGGGTGGCACAGGGACCCCAGAAGTGGCACAGGGACCCCAGGGGTGGCACAGGAACCCCAGAAGTGGCACAGGGACCCCAGGGGTGGCACAGGGACCCCAGGGGTGGCACAAGGACCCCAAGGGTGGCACTGGGTACATCGAGAATGGCACAAGGACCCCATAAGTGGCACTGGGGACCCCAGAAGTGGCACAGAGACCCCAGGGGTGGCACAAGGACCCCAAGGGTGGCACAGGGACCCCAGAAGTGGCACAGGGACCCCAAGGGTGGCACAGGGACCCCAGAAGTGGCACAGGGACCCCAAGGGTGGCACAGGGACCCCAGAAGTGGCACAGGGACCCCAGGGGTGGCACTGGGACCCCAGAAGTGGCACAGGGACCCCAAGGGTGGCACAGGGACCCCAAGGGTGGCACAGGGACCCCAGAAGTGGCACAGGGACCCCAGGGGTGGCACAGAGAGTGGCACAGGGACCCCAGAAGTGGCACAGAGAGTGGCACAGGGACCCCAAGGGTGGCACAGGGACCCCAAGGGTGACACAGGGACCCCAAGGGTGGCACAGAGAGTGGCACAGGGACCCCAGAAGTGGCACAGGGACCCCAAGGGTGGCACAGGGACCCCAGGGGTGGCACAGGGACCCCAGAGGTGGCACAGGGACCCCAGGGGTGGCACAGAGAGTGGCACAGGGACCCCAGGGGTGGCACAGGGACCCCAAGGGTGGCACAGGGACCCCAAGGGTGGCACAGGGACCCCAGAAGTGGCACAGGGACCCCAGGGGTGGCACAGGGACCCCAGGGGTGGCACAGGGACCCCAAAGGTGGCACAAGGACCGCAAGGGTGGCACAGGGACCCCAGGGGTGGCACAGGGACCCCAGAAGTGGCACAGGGACCCCAGGGGTGGCACTGGGACCCCAGGGGTGGCACTGGGGACCCCAGGGGTGGCACAGGGACCCCATAAGTTGCACAGGGACCCCAGAGGTGGCACAGGGACCCCAGAGGTGGCACTGGGGACATCGAGAATGACACTGGGGACACCCAGGGTGGCACTGGGGACATCCAGGGGTGGCACAGGGACCCCATAAGTGGCACAGGGACCCCATAAGTGGCACAGGGACCCCAGAAGTGGCACAGGGACCCCATAAGTGGCACAGGGACCCCAGAAGTGGCACAGGGACCCCAGGGGTGGCACAGGGACCCCAAGGGTGGCACAGGGACCCCAGAAGTGGCACAGGGACCCCAGGGGTGGCACAGAGACCCCAGAAGTGGCACAGGGACCCCAGGGGTGGCACAGGGACCCCAAGGGTGGAACAGGGACCCCAGAAGTGGCACAGGGACCCCAGGGGTGGCACTGGGACCCCAAGGGTGGCACAGGGACCCCAAGGGTGGAACAGGGACCCCAGGGGTGGCACTGGGGACATCCAGGGTGGCACAGGGACCCCCATGATGGCACTGGGTACATCGAGAATGGCACTGGGACCCCATAAGTGGCACTGGGACCCCATAAGTGGCACTGGGGACCCCAGGGGTGGCACTGGGACCCCAAGGGTGGCACAGGGACCCCAGGGGTGGCACAAGGACCCCAAGGGTGGCACAAGGAGCCCAGAAGTGGCACAGGGACCCCAGGGGTGGCACAGGGACCCCGGGGGTGGCACAGGGACCCCAGGGGTGGCACAAGGACCCCAGGGGTGGCACAGGGACCCCAGGGGTGGCACAGGGACCCCAATGATGGCACTGGGTACATCGAGAATGGCACAGGGACACCATAAGTGGCACAGCGACCCCAGGGATGGCACAAGGACCCCAAGGGTGGCACAGGGACCCCAAGGGTGGCACAGGGACCCCAGAGGTGGCACTGGGGACATCCAGGGTGGCACAGGGACCCCAGAGGTGGCACTGGGGACATCCAGGGTGGCACAGGGACCCCAGAGGTGGCACAGGGACCCCAGGGGTGGCACAGGGACCCCAGAGGTGGCACTGGGACCCCAAGGGTGGCACAGAGAGCGGCACAAAGACCCCAGGGGTGGCACAGAGAGTGGCACAGGGACCCCAGGGGTGGTACAAAGACCCCAGGGGTGGCACAGGGACCCCAAGGGTGGCACTGGGGTCCCCAGGGGTGGCACAGGGACCCCAGAGGTGGCACAGGGACCCCGGGGGTGGCACAGAGAGTGGCACAAAGACCCAAGGGGTGGCACAGGGACCCCAATGGTGGCACAGGGACCCCAGGGGTGGCACAGGGACCCCAGAGGTGGCACAAGGACCCCAGGGGGGGCACAGGGACCCCAAGGGTGGCACTGGGACCCCAGGGGTGGCACAGGGACCCCAATGGTGGCACAGGGACCCCAGAAGTGGCACAAGGACCTCAGGGGTGGCACAGGGACCCCAGGGGTGGCACTGGGGACATCCAGGGGTGGCACAGGGACCCCAGAAGTGGCACAGGGACCCCAGGGGTGGCACTGGGACCCCAGAAGTGGCACAGGGACCCCAGAAGTGGCACAGGGACCCCAGGGGTGGCACAGGGACCCCAGGGGTGGCACAGGGACCCCAGAACTGGCACTGGGACCCCAGAAGTGGCACAGGGACCCCATGGGTGGCACTGGGGACATCCAGGGGTGGCACAGGGACCCCAGGGGTGGCACAGGGACCCCAGGGGTGGCACAGAGAGTGGCACACCAGCGTCACCGCGCAGTTTTATTGCCCAGGTCCTGTGCCAACCTCCTGACCTCGGGGTTGGGGTACTCGGGGTTCTCGATGGCGCCGGGCCCGAATTTGAACTCCAGGAAGGCTCGGGGGTCGTTGGGCGCCTTGGCCATGACCCCGACGAAGGGCACGGTGCCAAGGGGCACCACGAAACGCTCGGGGAACTCCACATCCTGCCGGTGACCCAACCACGTGTCCTTGGTCATGACGGCGGCGCCGGGGCGGACGTAGAACGGCCACAGATCCACGTGGAGCCGGTTGGTGCGGCTAAAATGGACGCGGTAAAATTCCCCTTCAACGGCTTTCTCCCAAAAAAACCCGTCGGGATCTTCCAGCGGACGACCCGTCGCCGCCACGGCCGCCAGCCAACGGCACTTGGGGACGTCGTCGCGGTAGAAGCCGACGTCGACATCGTAATCCCACGGCACGATGTCGCCGTGCCGGACGGCGCCCAGCAGCGAGCCGCCCTCCAGCCAGTGGCGCACGCCCGACGCCTCGAGCTGCGCCAGGACGTGCCGCGCGGTGAGGCGCAGCGCCCGCAGGCAGCACGGCGGCGTCCAGCGCCCCGCCAGCAGGTACTCGGGGCTCTGCGCCCGCACCGTGCCGAAACAACGCGCCGTGTCCTTGCCGCAGCCGTGCCAGCGCCGGGAACCGTCCGGCAGCACCTCCAGCTTGATGCCGAAACGCTGCAGCAACGCGCGGCGACGCGATTCGGCAACGCCGGCGCGGGATGGCGACACACGTGGGGACGGAGGGAAGGAGGACGGGAGAAGGAGGAGGCGCCAACCGCGCGCCGCCGCCTGTAGGGACAGCGAGGTGGACACCGGGACGGTCAACGGGAAGGGCAGCGAGAAGAGGTCGCGCGTCCGTAGGAGAAGCACGGCCGGGGTTTCGTCCAGCGCGCCGCAGAGGTCGCCGCGGTGGTCATCGTGGTGGTCATTGTGGTGGTCATCATGGTGGTCATTGTGGTGGTCGTTGTGGTGGTTGTCATGGTGGTCATCGGGGTGGTCATTGTGGTGGTTGTTGTGGTTGTCGTGGTGGTTATCGTGGTGGTCACTCCGCCGGTCACTCCGCCCATCGGCGTAGCTGTACCGCACCGTCCACGCCTTGACGTCCACCTCCACCTCCAAACACCGCGGCCGCCGCCGCCCCACGGCCGCCGCCACCACCTTGGCGTCGGTGGTGGCTTCCAGCGCGTCCCTCATGCGCCGCAGCAGCCCCGGCGCGGCGCGGGCGCCGTCCGGCACCAAAGCCACGTGGCGCGTCCGCACCGCCAGCTCTGGCCGCGGCGGCGGCCGGTGCAGCTCCGGCCGCAGCGACAGCACGGCCACGCCGGCGGGAAGCGGCGCCGGCGGGTACGGCGGCGTCTCCGAAGCCACCAGGACGGTGACGCCGGGCAGGGCGGCGAAGGAGCGGGCGGTGGCGGCCACGTCGTGCTCGGGACCGTCGAAGTCGCGCAGGATGACGGTGACGCCGGGGACGCCGTCGGCGACGCGCCGGGAGCGGCGGCACGGAGGGGACGCGCCGGGGAGGAGGTGGGAGAAGAGCAGCAGGAGGAGGTTGAGGGTGATGGCGGCGGCCAGGGCGGCCTGGCAGGGCGTGATTCGCATGGTGGCGGTTAATTAATTAGTTAATTAATTAGTTAATTAATTATTTAGTTAATTATTATTTAATTTGGAGGTGTTGCCGCTTGTTGTAGGGTCGGTGGTGGTGGCGATACCAGCGGTGACCACGCGGTGGCGCTGCGGGTGTGGATATATTAATAATGGATTGTTAATGAGGCGTTAATTAATTCCCCATAATTAAACCCAAAACTCACCAAAAAAATCCTCTCTAATCGACCAAACAACCCCGAAAAATCCTAAAAACCTCCAAAATGCCCTTTAACACACCAAAGAAATATGAAACCCCCAAAATTTTCTATAAACCCCCAGTGACCACCCCTAAAAGTCTCCTAAACGCCCCCAAATCCCCTCAGGCCTTACAAAAAACCCAAAAATTCTCTAAAAAACCCCAAAATCCCGCATAACTCTTAAAACTCCCCTCTAACATTTCAAAGACCCCCCCCAAAAATCCCCTTTAACCCCCCAAAAATCCCCAAAAATCCCCCAAAAATCCCCCATAAAGATCACAAAAATCCCCTGCAAAGGCTCCCAGAAAACACTCCAAAAAGTCCCAAAATCCCCTTTAACGCCCCAAAGACACCCCAAAAAACCCCTAGAGCCCCCCAAAATCCTCTCTCACCCCCTAAAGAGCCTCCAAAAAACCCCAAAAATCCCCTAAAACTCTCCAAAATCCCCCGAAACCCCACTGAAAAACCCCAAAAATCCCCTTTAACCCTCCAGAGACCTCCCAAAAATCCCCTCTAACCCCTCAAAAATCCCCTCTAACCCCCCCAAAATCCCCTATAACCTCCAAAGACCTCCCAAAAATCTCCTATAATCCCCTCTAACCCCCCAAAAATCCCCTCTAACCCCCAAAGACCCCCGGAAAAACCCCAAAAATCCCCTTTAACCCTCCAGAGACCTCCCAAAAATCCCCTATAATCCCCAAAGACCCCCCCAAAAAACCCCTCTAACCCCCAAAAAATCCCATCTAACCCCCCAAAATCTCCCCGAAAAACCCCAGAAATCCCCTATAACCTCCAAAGACCCCCCAAAAAACCCCTCTAACCCCCCAAAAAATCCCCTCAAAACCCCAAAAATCCCCTCTAACCCCCAAAGACCCCCGGAAAAACCCCCAAAGACCCCCTCTAACCCCCCAAAAATCCCCTCTAACCCCCAAAGACCCCCGGAAAAACCCCAAAAATCCCCTATAACCTCCAAAGACCCCCCAAAAATCCCATCTAACCCCCCAAAAATCCCGTCTAACCCCCAAAAATCCCCTCTAACCCCCAAAAATCCCCTCTAAGCCCCAAAGACCCCCCCAAAAATCCCCTCTAAGCCCCAAAAATCCCCTCTAACCCCCAAAAATCCCCTCTAACCCCCCAAAAATCCCCTCTAACCCCCAAAGACCCCCGGAAAAACCCCAAAAATCCCCTCTAACCCCCAAAGACCCCCGGAAAAACCCCAAAAATCCCCTTTAACCCCCCAAAAAGATCCATCAAAACCCCAAAATCCCCAAAATTCCCCCACAGCCCCCCCCCCGCGTTGCCACGGCAACGGCGCCTCACCGTGGCCACGCCCCTTTGTACAAACCACGCCCCTTTGTGTAAACCCCGCCCATTTCTCACCGGCCCCGCCCCTTGCCCCGCCCCTTTGCCCCGCCCCCGGCTCCCTTTGTGGCAGGAAGCCGCTGCCGCCCGTGGCTCCCTTTGTGGCAGCCGCCATGGCGGCCGAGCGGGCTCCGCCGGCCCGGGCCCAACCTCCGCCCCCCGGCCCCGCTCCCGGCCCCGCTCCCGGGCCCGTGGCGGGCCCCGAGCCCGCGGCACGAACCGGCCTCAGCCTGCCGGGCATCCTGCACTTCATCCAGCACGAGTGGGCGCGGTTCGAGGCGGAGAAAGGGCGCTGGGAAGCGGAGAGGGCCGAGCTGCAGGTAATGATGGCGGCGGTGCCCTCATGAGGGGAGGGACGGGGAGGGGACGGCGGGGACAGCGAGGGGACAGCGAGGGGACAGCACAGGGACAGAGGGGACAGCACAGGGACATCAGGGACAGCGCGGGGACATCAGGGACAGCGCGGGGACATCAGGGGACAGCGCGGGACGCCGGGGGGCGGCGGGGCGGGGTGGCCGCGGTTGGCGCCATCTTGGGAGGAAATGGCGGCCGGGGCGGCGGGAGGGGGTGGGGACAGCGGGAGGGGCGGGAGCGGCGAACTGGGAGTACTGGGAGTACTGGGAATACTGGGATGGGAACTGGGGGTACTGGGATGGACACTGGGGGTACTGGGGATACTGGGAACTGGGGATACTGGGAATACTGGGGATACTGGGAACTGGGGAGACTGGGGATACTGGGAATACTGGGATGGACACTGGGGGTACTGGGAACTGGGGATACTGGGGAGACTGGGGGTACTGGGATGGACACTGGGGGTACTGGGGATACTGGGAACTGGGGGTACTGGGCATACTGGGGAGACTGGGGATACTGGGAATACTGGGGATACTGGGGAGACTGGGAATACTGGGGATACTGGGGAGACTGGGAATACTGGGGGGACTGGGAACTGGGGATACTGGGGGGACTGGGAATACTGGGATGGGAACTGGGAGTACTGGGAATACTGGGGGTACTGGGAATACTGGGGATACTGGGATATTGGGGAGACTGGAGATACTGGGGAGACTGGGGAGACTGGGGATACTGGGGACTGGGAATACTGGGATGGGAACTGGGAGTACTGGGGGGACTGGGAATATTGGGGAGACTGGGAATACTGGGAATACTGGGGATACTGGGGGTACTGGGAATAGTGGGGAGACTGGGAATACTGGGAACTGGGGAGACTGGGTGGGTGTGGGGACACTGTCACCCCCTGAGTTTTCCCTGGGTGTCCCCAATGTCCCCAGTCCCCCCAATGTCCCCAACCCCCCCAATGTCCCCAATGTCCCCCCAATGTCCCCAGTCCCCCCAATGTCCCCCCAATCCCCCCAATGTCCCCAATGTCCCCCCAATGTCCCCAATCCCCCCAATGTCCCCAATGTCCCCAATGTCCCCAATGTCCCCAATGTCCCCAATGTCCCCAATGTCCCCAATGTCCCCAATGTCCCCAATCCCCCCAATGTCCCCAATGTCCCCAATGTCCCCAATGTCCCCAATGCCCCCAATGTCCCCAATGTCCCCAATGTCCCCAATCCCCCCAATGTCCCCAATGTCCCCAATGTCCCCAATCCCCCCAATGTCCCCAATGTCCCCAATGTCCCCAATGTCCCCAATGCCCCCAATGTCCCCAATGTCCCCAATCCCCCCAATGTCCCCAATGTCCCCAATCCCCTCAATCCCCCCCAATGTCCCCAATGTCCCCAATGTCCCCAATCCCCCCAATCCCCCCCAATGTCCCCAAATGTCCCCGCTGTCCCCAGGCGCAGGTGGCGTTCCTGCAGGGCGAGCGGCAGGGTCAGGAGAGCCTCAAGCTGGACCTGGTGCGGCGGATCCGGATGTTGGAATTCGCCCTCAAGCAGGAGAGGTGAGCGAAAAACCCCAAAAATCCACCCAAAAATCCCCCAAAATGTCCTGGAAAATCTAAAAATGTACAAAAGCAGCCCAAAAAATGGGGCAAAAATATCAAAAATTTGGAAAAAAACACCTAAAAACCACCCCAAAATGGAAAAAAAATGTCCTGAAAACTCTAAAAATGTATGAAAGCAGCCCAAAAGCACCAAAAATGTGACAAAAATCTATAGAAGTTGTAAAAAAACACCTAAAAACCACCTAAATATCCTAAAAATTGTCCTGAAAACTCTAAAAATGTATGAAAGCAGCCCAAAAGCATCAAAAGCACTCAAAAATGGGACAAAAATATCAAAAATTTGTAAAAAATACCCTAAAAACCACCCGAAAATCGAAAAAAATGTCCTGAAATCCATAAAAATGTACGAAAGCAACCCAAAAGCACCAAAAATGTGACAAAAATCTATAGAAGTTGTAAAAAAAAAACCCTAAAACTACCCAAATATCCTAAAAATTGTCCTGAAAACTCTAAAAATGTATGAAAGCAGCCCAAAAGCATCAAAAGCACCCAAAAAATCTGACAAAAATCTCTAAAAGTTGTAAAAAAGCTCCAAAGACCCCCCAAAAGAAACCCAAAATTACCCAAAAAATCCCAAAAAACCCCAATAATGGACCCGAAAGAAACCCAAAATCTGCCAAAAAACCCCAAAAAACCCCCAAAACCCTAAAAAATCCCCCTAAAAGAAACCCACAATTCTCCTAAAAACTCTCAAAAAAACCCCCCCAAAAACCCCAAAAATCCCCCCAAAATAAACCCCAAAAAACCCCCCAAAATAAACCCCAAAAATCCCCCCAAAAAACTCCCCAAAACTCCCAAAAAAAACCCCAAACCCCCCAAAAAACCCCAAAAAATCTCTAAAAACCCAAATCCTTTCTCAAGGCCCCAAAAATCTCCCCAAAACCCCCAAAAAAAGCCCAAAAAACCCCAAAAATCCCCCCAAAATAAACCCCAAAAAAACCCCAAACCCCCCAAAAAAACCCAAAAATTGCCCCAAAAACCCCAAATCCTTCCTCAAGACCCCCAAAAAACTCCCCAAAAAATTCCCCAAAACCCCCCAAAAAATCCCCAAAGTAAACCCCAAAAAAACCCCAAATCCCCCAAAAAACCCCAAGAATCCCCCCAAACCCCCCAAAAAACCCAAAAAATTGCCCCAAAACCCCAAATCCTTCCTCAAGACCCCCAAAAATCTCCCCAAAACCCCCCAAAAAACCCCCAAAATCCCCCCAAGATAAACCCCAAAAAACCCCAAAAACTGCCCCAAACCCCCAAAAAAAACCCAAATCCCCCAAAAAACCCCAAAAATTGCCCCAAAAACCCCAAATCCTTCCTCAAGACCCCCAAAAAACTCCCAAAAAAACTCCCCAAAACCCCCCAAAAAACCCCAAAATCCCCCCAAAATAAACCCAAAAAACTCCCCAAAAAACCCCAAATACCCCAAAAAACCCCAAAAATCCCCAAAACTCCCCAAAAAGCCCCAAAATCCCCCAAATTTCCCTGCCAGGTCCAAGCTGCAGAAGCTGAAGTTGGGGGCGGAGGCGGCGCCGGGGGAGAAGCGCCCAGAGGAGCCACGTGAGCCCCAAATTTTGGGTTTTTTGGGGTTTTTTTTGGGGTTTTGGGGTTTTTTTGGGGTTTTTGGGGTTTTGGGTCTTTTTTTGCTTCTTTCGGAGGGAATTTTGGGGTTTTTGGCAGAAATTTTGGGTTTTTTTCAGGGGGTTTTTGGGGGGAATTTTGGGGCTTTTTCAGGGGATTTTTGGGGTTTTTTTGGGGGGGTTTTGGGTTTTTTCGGGATTTGGGGTTTTTTGGGTCTTTTTTGGCTTCTTTCAGGGGGAATTTTGGGTTTTTCTCAGGGTGGTTTTGGGGGGAATTTTGGGGTTTTTTCAGGGGGTTTTGGGGGGTTTTTGGGGGTAATTTTGGGGCTTTTTCATGGGATTTTTGGGGGGAATTTTAGGGGTTTTTTTAGGGTTTTTTTGGGGGGGTCTTTGGTGTATTTTTGGGGTATTTTAGGGGGTGGTTTTGGTGTATTTTTGGGGTATTTTAGGGGTATTTTAGGGGGTGGTTTTTGTGTATTTTTGGTGTATTTTTGGGGGTGGTTTTGGTGTATTTTGGGGGTATTTTGGGGGTATTTTTGGGGGTGGTTTTGGGGTTTTTTGGGGGTTATTTGGGGGTATTTTAGGGGGTTATTTCGGGGTATTTTTGGTGTATTTAGGGGGTATTTTGGGGGTATTTTTGGGGGTATTTTTGGGGTATTTTGGGGGTATTTTAGGGGGTTATTTTGGGGTATTTTTGGGGTATTTGGGGGTATTTTAGGGGGTTATTTTGGGGTATTTTTGGGGTATTTTGGGGTTTCTCACCCCCATTTCCCCCCAGTGTCCAACGGCCCGGTGGAGCTGGAGGGGGCCTGGAAGGACGGGAGGCGGCTCCTGCGCCAGTGAGTTCGGGGCTTTTTTGGGGTTATTTTGGGGTTTTTTGGGGTTTTTGGGGGTGTTTGGTTTTTTTGAGGTTTTTTGGGGTTTTTGTTGGGATTTTATTTTTGGGTTTTTGGGGTTTCATGGTTTTATTTTGGGTTTTTCGGGTTTTATTTGGGGGTTTTCGGTTTTTATTTTGGGGTTTTTTGGGAGTTTTTTTTTGGTTTTTGGGGGTTTTTGAGGTTTTATTTTGGGGGTTTTTTGAGGTTTTATCTTGGTATTTTTGGGGGTTTCTTTGGGGTTTTTTTTCCCATTTTAATAGAAATTTTTGCCATTTTTATGGGAATTGTTGCCATTTTAATGGCATTTTCCCATTTTCATGGAAATTTTTCCCCATTTTAATGGAATTTTTCCCCATTTTAATGGCAATTTTCCCCATTTTGATGGGAATTTTTAGGATTTCAATGGTATTTTTCCCCATTTTAATGGCAATTTTTCCCATTTTGATGGGAATTTTTAGGATTTCAATGGTATTTTTGCCATTTATGGGACGTTTCGCCATTTTTAATGGAATTTCTCCCATTTCTATTGGAATTTTGATGGCAATTTTTCCCATTTTAATGGGATTTTTTCCCTGTTTTTTTGTAATTTCCCCCATTTTTTTGACAATTTTCCCCATTTTTTGGACAATTTTCCCCATTTCCCTGGGAATTTCTCCCATTTCCATGGGAATTTTGATGGCAATTTTTCCCATTTTAATGGGATTTTTCCCCCGTTTTTTTTTGTAATTTCCCCCTTTTTTTGGAAAATTTTCCCCATTTTTTCGACAATTTTCCCCATTTCTCTGGGAATTTCTCCCATTTCCATGGGAATTTTGATGCCAATTTCTCCCATTTTAATGGGATTTTTTCCCCATTTTTTTGGTAATTTTCCCCATTTTTTTGGCAATTTTTCCCATTTTCATGGCAATTTTCCCCATTTCTCTGGGAATTTCTCCCATTTCCATGGGAATTTTGATGGCAATTTTTCCCATTTTAATGGGATTTTTTCCCCATTTTTTTTGTAATTTCCCCCTTTTTTTTGACAATTTTCCCCATTTTTTCGACAATTTTCCCCATTTCTCCGGGAATTTTTCCCATTCCCACCCTGTGGAATTTTTTTAGGACCCCCCCCCCCAATCCCCAAATCCCATTTTTCCCGAATTTCTCCCCAAATTTCAGGTACCTGGAGGAGCTGGGCTACAGCGACACCATCCTGGCCATGCGCTCGCGCCGCCTGCGGGCGCTGCTGGCCCGCGGAATCCCGGGAATTCCGGGAATTTCGGGAATAATTCCGGGAATTCCGGGAATTCCCGCCGCCCCCCCCAGCCCCGGCAGCCCCCCCTCCCCTCCCCCACCCGCCGAGTCGCTGCTGCTGCGCCGCATCGAGGAGCAGATCCAGAGGTGCCGGGGGGATTTTTGGGGAATTTTGGGAATTTTTGGGGGGATTTGGGGTTTTTTTGGGAATTTTTGGGGTTTTTTGGGAACTTTTTCGGAATTTTGGGGGGATTTTTGGGGTATTTTTAGCGAATTTTTGGGGTTTTTAGGGAATTTTTTGGGAATTTTGGGGGGATTTTTGGGGTTTTTTTGGTGGGAGTTGGGTTTTTTTAGGGAATTTTTGGTGGGATTTGGGGTTTTTTAGGGAATCTTTGGGGTTTTTTGGGAATTTTTGGGGAATTTGGGGGGGATTTGGGCTTTTTTAGGAAATTGTTTGAGAAATTTTGGGAATTTTTTGGGAATTTTGGGGAGATTTTTGTGGGATTCAGGGCTATTTTTAGGGAATTTGGGAATTTTTTGGGAAATTTTGGGAATTTTGGGGGGATATAGGAAAGTTTTGGGGGAAATTTGGGCATTTTGGGGGGATTTGGGGTTTTTTAGGGAATTTTTTGGGGATTTGTGGGAATTTAGGGGGGATTTTTGGGGTTTTTTTTTTCGGATTTCCAGTGGAATATTTGGGCTTTCCCATGGGAATTTTGGGGTTTCCTGTTGGATTTCGGGATTTCCCATGAAATTTTTTGGATTTCCCATGGGATTTGTGGGATTCCCTGTGGAATTTTCGGGATTTCCTGTTGGATTTCGGGATTTCCCATGGGATTTTTGGGATTTCCAGGGGAATTTTCAGGATTTCCTGTGGAATATTTGGGCTTTCCCATGGGAATTTTGGGATTTCCTGTTGGATTTCGGGATTTCCCATGAGATTTTTGGGATTTCCAGGGGAATTTTCAGGATTTCCCGTGGAATTTCACCGTTTCCAGCCGTTTTTTGACCGTTTTTCGTGGGATTTTTTGCGTTTTTTCCCTTTTTTTCCTTCCTTTTTCCCATTTCCGGGATTTTCCCTCTCCCTAATTCCCAAATTTCCCCCCAGGAACGCCGGGAAGGAGCCGCAGCGGGGGCTGAGCCCCTCCCCCCCCGAGGAGGACAGCGATGAGGAAGAGGAGCCCGAGGGCCCCTCCCCCACCCCGGGGCCGCCCCGCAGGAGGGGAAAGGTTGGGACCCCCAAATTTGGGGCTTTTCGGGGCTTTTGGGGGAGTTTGGGGATTTTTTGGGAATTTTTGGGGATTTTTATGGGATTTTTTGGGGATTTTTAGGGGATTTTTAGGGATTTTTTTGGGAATTTTTTAGGGGATTTTTTGGGGATTTTTGGGGGATTTTTTGGGGATTTTTTAAGGGATTTTTTGGGGATTTTTTGGGGATTTTTTGGGGGATTTTTAGGGGATTTTTAGGGATTTTTTGGGGATTTTTATGGGATTTTTATGGGATTTTTTTGGTATTTTTAGGGGATTTTTAGGGATTTTTTGGGAATTTTTTAGGGGATTTTTTGGGGATTTTTGGGGGATTTTTAGGGCAATTTTTGGGGATTTTTGGAGGATTTTTAGGGATTTTTAGGAATTTTTTAGGGAATTTTTTGGGGATTTTTTTGGAATTTTTAGAGATTTATATGGGATTTTTTTTGGGATTTTTATGGGATTTTTGGGGGATTTTTATGGGATTTTAATGGGATTTTAATGGGATTTTTTGGGATTTTTATGGATTTTTTAGGGATTTTTTGGGAATTTTTTGGGGATTTTTTTGGGATTTTTATGGGATTTTTTGGGGATTTTTTTTGGGGATTTTTATGGGATTTTTATGGGATTTTTTTGGTATTTTTGGGCGGATTTTTAGGGATTTTTAGGGGATTTTTTAGGGGATTTTTTTGGGATATTTATGGGATTTTTTGGGGATTTTTTGGGGGATTTTTTTGGGATTTTTAGGGATTTTTTGGGGATTTTTGGAGGATTTTTAGGGGATTTTTTGGGAATTTTTAGAGATTTATATGGGATTTTTTGGGATTTTTAGGGGATTTTTTGGGATTTTTATGGGATTTTTTGGGGATTTTTATTGGATTTTTATGGGATTTTTTGGTTTTTTTGGGGGGATTTTTAGGGATTTTTTTTAATTTTTAAGGGGATTTTTTGGGGATTTTTTTGGGTTTTTTTGGGTTTTTTAGGGATTTTTTGGGGGGACTTTTAGGGAATTTGGGCAGATTTTTGTCCCTTTGTCCCCAGAGTGTCCCCAAGGTCCCCGAGGAGGACGAGGACGAGGATGAGGACGAGGAAGACTCCGAGGACGCCCTGGGGGAGTTCGACTTCCTGGGGACACCTGGGGACACTTTGGGGACACCTGGGGACATCAGAGGTGAGCTGGGGACACCTGGGGACACCTTGGGACACTTTGGGGACACCTGGGGACATCAGAGGTGAGCTGGGGACACCTGGGGACACCTTGGGACACTTTGGGGACACCTGGGGACATCAGAGGTGAGCTGGGGACACCTTGGGGACACTTTGGGGACATTTGGGGACACTTTGGGGACACCTGGGTACACCTGGGGACACTTTGGGGACATTTGGGGACACCTGGGGTCACCTTGGGACACCTGGGACACCTTGGGGACACTTTGGGGACACCTTGGGACACCTTGGGACACCTGGGGACACTTGGGGACACCTTGGGGACATTTGGGGACACTTTGGGGACACCTGGGGACACCTTGGGGACATTTGGGGACACATGGGGACACCTGGGGTCACTTTGGGGACACCTTGGGGACATCAGAGGTGAGCTGGGGACACTTTGGGGACACCTTGGGGACATTTGGGGACACCTGGGGACACTTGGGGACACCTTGGGACACTTTGGGGACATTTGGGGACACTTTGGGGACACTTTGGGGACACTTTGGGGACATTTGGGGACACCTGGGGTCACCTTGGGACACCTGGGGACACTTTGGGGACATTTGGGGACACGTTGGGGACGTCCCCTGACCCCTCCCCCGCTGTCACAGAGAGCCACCGGTGCCACCTGCGGGACGGGGACCTCGGGCCACCGCGGCCACCCGAAGGTAAGGACACGCCTGTCACCCGTATGTCACCCGTGTGTCACCTGTGTGTCACTTGTGTCATCTGGGGGGTCCCTGGATGTCCCCAAGGCCACCCTGATGTCACTGTCCCCATTGTCCCCATTGTCCCCTCTGTCCCTGTGTCCCCAAGGCCACCCCGCTGTCACTGTCCCTATTGTCCCCATTGTCCCCACTGTCCCTGGATGTCCCCAAGGCCACCTTGGTGTCACTGTCCCCATTGTCCCCTCTGTCCCTGAGTGTCCCCAAGGCCACCCCGCTGTCACTGTCCCCACTGTCCCCATTGTCCCCACTGTCCCTGGATGTCCCCAAGGCCACCCCACTGTCACTGTCCCCATTGTCCCTGGGTGTCCCCAAGGCCACCCTGATGTCACTGTCCCCATTGTCCCCATTGTCCCCATTGTCCCCACTGTCCCCTCTGTCCCTGGATGTCCCCAAGGCCACCCTGGTGTCACTGTCCCCATTGTCCCCATTGTCCCCTCTGTCCCTGGGTGTCCCCAAGGCCACCTCGGTGTCACTGTCCCCATTGTCCCCATTGTCCCCTCTGTCCCTGGGTGTCCCCAAGGCCACCTCAGTGTCACTGTCCCAACTGTCCCCTCTGTCCCTGAGTGTCCCCAAGGCCACCCCGGTGTCACTGTCCCCATTGTCCCCTCTGTCCCTGAGTGTCCCCAAGGCCACCTCGGTGTCACTGTCCCCTCTGTCCCCATTGTCCCCTCTGTCCCTGGATGTCCCCAAGGCCACCCCAGTGTCACTGTCCCCAGTGTCCCCATTGTCCCCTCTGTCCCCTCTGTCCCTGAGTGTCCCCAAGGCCACCCTGATGTCACTGTCCCCTCTGTCCCCTCTGTCCCCTCTGTACCTGGGTGTCCCCAAGGCCACCCCGCTGTCACTGTCCCCATTGTCCCCATTGTCCCCTCTGTCCCTGGGTGTCCCCAAGGCCACCTCGGTGTCACCGTCCCCATTGTCCCCATTGTCCCCTCTGTCCCTGGGTGTCCCCAAGGCCACCCCAGTGTCACTGTCCCCATTGTCCCCTCTGTCCCCTGTGTCCCCAGGGCTCCCGGCCGAGGCGCTGGCCCTGGATGGCCTCGGGGACCTGGCGGAGCTGACGGTGACAAATGACAACGACGGCGGTGACGTGAGTGCCACCACCCCCGCCCCGAGTGTCCCCAAGTGCCACCACCCCCGCCCCGAGTGTCCCCAAGTGCCACCACCCCCGCCCCGAGTGTCCCCAAGTGCCACCAACCCTGCCCCGAGTGTCCCCGAGTGCCACCATCCCTGTCCTGAGTGTCCCCAAGTGCCACCAACCCCTGTCCTGAGTGTCCCCAAGTGCCACCACCCCTGCCCCGAGTGTCCCCAAGTGCCACCAACCCCGTCCCGAGTCTCCTCAAGTGCCACCACCCCTGCCCCGAGTGTCCCCAAGTGCCACCAACCCCGTCCCGAGTGTCCTCAAGTGCCACCAACCCTGCCCCGAGTGTCCCCAAGTGCCACCAACCCCATCCTGAGTGTCCCCAAGTGCCACCACCCCTGCCCCGAGTGTCCCCAAGTGCCACCAACCCCATCCTGAGTGTCCCCAAGTGCCACCACACCTGCCCCAAGTGTCCCCAAGTGCCACCACACCTGCCCCAAGTGTCCCCAAGTGCCACCACACCTGCCCCAAGTGTCCCCAAGTGCCACCAACCCCGTTCCCAAGTGTCCCCAAGTGCCACCAACCCTGCCTTGACTGTCCCCAAGTGCCACCAACCCTGTTCTGAGTGTCCTCAAGTGCCACCAACCCCATCCTGTGTGTCCCCAAGTGTCCCCAAGTGTCCTCAAATGCCACCATGCCCCCAAATGCCACCACGCCTTCACACTGCTGTGTCCCCAAGTGCCACCACCGTGTCCCCAAGTGCCACCATGTCCCCAAGTGCCACCACGCCTTCATTCTGCCGTGTCCCCAAGTGTCCCTAAGTGTCCCCAAGTGCCACCAACCCCGTCCCGAGTGTCCTCAAGTGCCACCATGTCCCTAAATGCCACCACACCTTCACTCTGCCGTGTCCCCAAGTGTCCCTAAGTGTCCCCAAGTGCCACCAACCCCGTCCCGAGTGTCCTCAAGTGCCACCAACCCCATCCTGAGTGTCCCCAAGTGTCCCCAAGTGCCACCATGCCCCCAAATGCCACCACACCTTCATTCTGCCGTGTCCCCAAGTGCCATCACCGTGTCCCCAAGTGCCACCATGTCCCGAAATGCCACCACGCCTTCACTCTGCCGTGTCCCCAAGTGTCCCTAAGTGTCCCCAAGTGCCACCAACCCTGTCCCGAGTGTCCCCAAGTGCCACCAACCCCATCCTGAGTGTCCCCAAGTGCCACCAACCCTGTTCTGAGTGTCCCCAAGTGTCCCCAAGTGCCACCATGTCTCTAAATGCCACCACGCCTTCACTCTGCCATGTCCCCAAGTGCCACCGCCGTGTCCCCAAGTGCCACCACCCCTATCCTGAGTGTCCCCAAGTGCCACCATGTCTCTAAATGCCACCACACCTTCATTCTGCTGTGCCCCCAAGTGTCCCCAAGTGTCCCCAAGTGCCACCAACCCCGTCCTGAGTGTCCCCAAGTGCCACCAACCCCGTCCCGAGTGTCCCCAAGTGCCACCAACCCCATCCTGAGTGTCCCCAAGTGTCCCCAAGTGTCCCCAAATGCCACCATGCCCCCAAATGCCACCACGCCTTCATTCTGCCGTGTCCCCAAGTGCCACCAACCCCGTCCTGAGTGTCCTCAAGTGCCACCAACCCCGTCCCGAGTGTCCCCAAGTGTCCCTGAGTGTCCCCAAGTGCCACCATGCCCCCAAATGCCACCATGCCTTCACTCTGCCGTGTCCCCAAGTGCCACCAACCCCGTCCCGAGTGTCCTCAAGTGCCACGAACCCCATCCTGTGTGTCCCCAAGTGTCCCCAAGTGTCCCCAAATGCCACCATGTCCCGAAATGCCACCACGCCTTCATTCTGTCGTGTCCCCAAGTGTCCCTAAGTGTCCTCAAGTGCCACCAACCCCATCCTGAGTGTCCCCAAGTGCCACCGTCCCTGCCCTGACTGTCCCCAAGTGCCACCATGTCCCCAAGTGCCACCACACCTTCATTCTGCCGTGCCCCTAAAGTGTCCCCAAGTGCCACCAGCCCCATCCTGAGTGTCCCCAAGTGCCACCAACCCTGCCCTGACTATCCCCAAGTGCCACCAACCCTGTTCTGAGTGTCCCCAAGTGCCACCAACCCCATCCTGTGTGTCCCCAAGTGTCCCTGAGTGTCCCCAAGTGCCACCAACCCCGTCCCGAGTGTCCTCAAATGCCACCATGTCCCCAAATGCCACCACGCCTTCACTCTGCCGTGTCCCCAAGTGTCCCTAAGTGTCCCCAAGTGCCACCACCGTGTCCCCAAGTGCCACCGCCGTGTCCCCAGGTGCCACCGTCGCCGCGGCGCGTCTGGAGCCCGCGGCTGACGCTGCGCAGCCACTTTGACGCCGTGCGGGCGGTGGCCTTTGTCCCTTGTCACCCGGCGCTGGTGACGGCCTCCGAGGACGCCACCCTCAAGCTCTGGAACCTGCAGAAGCCGCTCGTCCCCAACAAGTGGGTGACACCGGGTGACACCGGGTGGCACTGGGTGGCACCGGGGCGGTGGCGGCGCTCGGGGCGCCGTTGTCACCGTTGTCACCGATTGTCACCGGGGTTTGTCACCGTTGTCCCCTCAGGAGCGCGGCGCTGGACGTGGAGCCGGTGTACGCCTTCCGCGGGCACAGGTGTGTCACCTGCTGTCACCTGTTGTCACCTGATGTCACCTCAGTGTCACCTTTCTTGTCATGTCAGCGGTTTTGGCTTTGTTCCTCTTTTTTGTCACTTTGGTGTCACCTCAGTGTCACCTCATTGTCACTTCAGTGTCACCTCATTGTCACCTCATTGTCACCTCAGTGTCACCTCAGTGTCACCTCAGTGTCACCTTCTATGTCACCTCAGTGTCACCTCAATGTCACCTTCTATGTCAGCTCATTGTTACCTCTTTGTCACCTCATTGTCACCTCAGTGTCACCTTCTATGTCACCTCTTTGTCACCTCATTGTCACCTCAGTGTCACCTCATTGTCACCTCAATGTCACCTCATTGTCACCTCAGTGTCACCTCGGTGTCACCTTCTATGTCAGCTCAGTGTCACCTTGGTGTCACCTCCGTGTCACCTCAGTGGTTGTGGCTTTACTCCTCTTTTTTGTCACTTTGTCCCTTTGGTGTCACCTCAATGTCAGCTCATTGTCACCTCAGTGTCACCTCAATGTCACCTTCTATGTCAGCTCATTGTCACCTCTTTGTCACCTCAATGTCACCTTCTATGTCACCTCACTGTCACCTCTTTGTCACCTCATTGTCACCTCAGTGTCACCTCAGTGTCACCTTATTGTCACCTCAGTGTCACCTCATTGTCACCTCAATGTCACCTTCTATGTCAGCTCATTGTCACCTCATTGTCCCTCAGTGTCACCTCATTGTCACCTCAATGTCACCTCATTGCCATGTTGGCGGCTGTGGCTTTTCTCCTCTTTTTTGTCACTTTGGTGTCACCTCGGTGCCACCTCCTTGTCACTTGGTTGTCACCTGGCTGTGACGATGTTCTGATTTTTTGTCACTTTGTCACCGCCAAAGGGGCCCATGAGGTGACACCGGTGACACCGGTGTGATTTCTGTCACTTTGTCACCATCACAGGGGCCCATGAGGTGACATTGGTGTGACTTATGTCACTTTGTCACCGCCAGAGAGGGGCCAGGAGGTGACAGCGGTGACACCGGTGTCACTCATGTCCCTTTGTCACTGTCACAGGGGCCTGGGAGGTGACACTGGTGTGACTCGTGTCACTTTGTCACCATTCCACAGGTCTGGGAGGTGACATTGGTGACACCGGTGTGATTTCTGTCACTTTGTCACTGCCAGAGAGGGGCCCATGGGGTGACATCGGTGACACCGGTGTCATTTCTGTCACTTTGTCACCCTCCCAGGGGCCCGGTGCTGGCGGTGGCGGTGGCAGCAGGTGACAGCGGTGACATCGGTGACATCGGGCTGTGCTGCAGCGCCGGCGTGGACGCGCAGATCCGCTGCTGGCGCCTGCCGGGGCTGGACAGCGACCCCTACGATGGCTACGGTGGGGACACTGGGGACACTTGGGGACACTGGGGGGATTGGGGACATTGGGGACATTGGGGACATCGGGAACATTTGGGGACACTTGGGGACATTGGGGACATTGGGGACATTGGGGGGATTGGGGACATTGGGGACACTTGGGGACATTGGGGGGATTGGGGACATGGGGACACTTGGGGACATTGGGGGGATTGGGGACATTGGGGGGATTGGGGACATTGGGGACACTTGGGGACATTGGGGGCATTGGGGACATCGGGGGGGTTGGGGACATTGGGGACATTGGGGGGATTGGGGACATTGGGGGGATTGGGGACATTGGGGGATTGGGGACATTGGGGACATTGGGGACATTGGGGGGACATTGGGGACATTGGGGGGATGGGGGACATTGGGGACAGAAGGACACAGGGACATTTGGGAGGATTGGGGACATTGGAAGACTGGGGGACATATGGGGACATTGCCACCACAGCCCCTGACGTCCCCTAATGTCCCCAATGTCCCCAATATCCCCAATGTCCCCAATGTCCCCAATGTCCCCCCAATGTCCCCAATGTCCCCAATCCCCCAATGTCCCCCCAATGTCCCCCAATGTCCCCAAATGTCCCCAATGTCCCCAATCCCCCCAATGCCCCCAATGTCCCCAATGCCCCAATGCCCCAATGTCCCCAATGTCCCCAATGTCCCCAATCCCCCCAATGTCCCCAATCCCCCCAATGTCCCCAATGTCCCCCCAATGTCCCCAATGTCCCCAATGTCCCCAATCCCCCCAATGTCCCCAATGTCCCCAATGTCCCCAATCCCCCAATGTCCCCAATGTCCCTGACTGTCCCCAATGTCCCCAATGTCCCCAATGTCCCCAATCCCCCCAATGTCCCCAATGTCCCCAATGTCCCTGACTGTCCCCAATGTCCCCAATGTCCCCATGTCCCCAATGTCCCCTGCCGCAGACCCGGGGGTGCTCCGGGGGCTCCTGGCCGGTCACTCTGACGCCGTTTGGGGTCTGTCCTTCGATGGCGCCGGGCGCCGCCTGGCCTCGTGCTCGGCCGATGGCACCGTGCGCCTCTGGGACCCCCGCGGGGACAGGGACAGCGGGGACAGCGGCGGTGGCACCTGCCTCGGCGTCCTGGACGGGCACGCAGGTGAGCGGGGACACCTGGGACACGGCTGGGGACATTGGGGACACACCTGGGACACAGCTGGGGACGTTGGGGACACCTGGGGATGTTGGGGACAGACCTGGGACACACCTGGGGATGTTGGGGGCACACCTGAATGATCTGGGACAGACCTGGGACACACCTGGGGACATTGGGGACATTGGGGACACACCTGAGTGATCTGGGACACACCTGGGGACGTTGGGGACACCTGGGGACACACCTGGGGACATTGGGGACACACCTGGGACACAGCTGGGGACATTGAGGACACACCTGGGGACACTGGGGACACCTGGGGATGTTGGGGACACACCTGGGACACGCCTGGGGACATTGGTGACACAGCTGGGGACATTGGGGACACACCTGGGGACGTTGGGGACACCTGGGGATGTTGGGGACACACCTGAGTGATCTGGGACAGACCTGGGGACATTGGGGACACACCTGGGGACATTGGGGACACCTGGGGATGTTGGGGACAGACCTGGGGACACACCTGGGGGCATTGGAGACACCTGGGGATGTTGGGGACAGACCTGGGGACATTGGGGACACACCTGGGACACACCTGGGGACATTGGGGACACACCTGGGACATACCTGGAGACATTGGGGACACACCTGGGACACACCTGGGGATGTTGGGGACAGACCTGGGGACATTGGGGACACACCTGGGACACACCTGGGGACATTGGGGACACACCTGGGACATACCTGGGGATGTTGGGGACACACCTGAATGGTCTGGGACACAGCTGGGGACGTTGGGGACACACCTGGGGACATTGGGGACACCTGGGAATGTTGGGAACACACCTGGGGATGTTGGGGACAGACCTGGGACACACCTGGGGACATTGGGGACACACCTGGGGACGTTGGGGACACACCTGGGACACACCTGAGTGATCTGGGACAGACCTGGGGACATTGGGGACACACCTGGGGATGTTGGGGACACACCTGGGGACATTGGTGACACACCTGCCGTGATCTGGGGACAACCTGGGACACCTGGGGACATTGGGGGCACACCTCGGGACATTGGGGACACACCTGAGTGATCTGGGACACACCTGGGACACACCTGGGGACATTGGGGACACACCTGGGGACAGACCTGAGGACATTTGGCCCCCTCTGGTGTCACCCCTGTCCCCTCACCTGTCCCCCAGGTGTGTCACACCTGTCCCCTCACCTGTCCCCTCAGAGCACGGCGTCCCCACCTCGGTGACCTTCGTGCCCACCCAGCCGGCGCACCTGGTGGCCGGGTTCCGCTCCGGGGCCACTGTCCTCTACGACCTCGAGGCCACCAAGGCCACCCTGGTGTCCCCAAACGGCGGTGAGTGACCCCCCATGTCTCCAGGGGTCACCTGGGGACACCTGGACACCCCCCAGATGTCCCCAGGGGTCACCTGAGGACACCTGGACACCCCCAAATGTCCCCAGGGGTCACCTGGGGACACCTGGGCACCCCCCAAATGTCCCCAAGGGTCACCCGAACCCCCCCGAAATGTCCCCAAGGGTCACCTGAACTCCCCCAGTGTCCCCAAGGGCCACCTGGGGACACCTGGACACCCCCCAAATGTCCCCAGGGGTCACCTGAACCCCCCCAGTGTCCCCAAGGGTCACCTGGACCCCCCAAAATGTCCCCAGGGGTCACCTGGGGACACCTGGACACCCCCCAAATGTCCCCAGGGGTCACCTGAACCCCCACGATGTCCCCAGGGGTCACCTGAACCCCCCCAGTGTCCCCAAGGGTCACCTGGGGCCACCTGGGTACCCCCAAATATCACCTGGGGTCACCTGGGGACACCTGGACACCCCCCAAATGTCCCCAAGGGTCACCTGGACCCCCCCAGTGTCCCCAGGGTTCACCTGAGGACACCTGAACCCCCCCCCAAATGTCCCCAAGGGTCACCTGGGGACACCTGGGCACCCCCCAAAATGTCCCCAAGGGTCACCTGAAGCCCCCAAATGTCCCCAGGGGTCACCTGAACCCCCCCAGTGTCCCCAGGGTTCACCTGAGGACACCTGAACCCCCCCCCAAATGTCCCCAAGGGCCACCTGGGGACACCTGGACACCCCCCAAATGTCCCCAGGGGTCACCTGAACACCCCCAGTGTCCCCAAGGGTCACCAGGTGGTCACTCTGGGTGTCCCCAGGTGGTCACTGACCCCGGTGACCCCAGGTGGTCACTGACCCCAGGTGACCCCAGGTGGTCACTGACCCTGGTGACCCCAGGTGGTCACTGACCCCAGGTGGTCACTGACCCCAGGTGACCCCAGGTGGTCACTGACCCCAGGTGGTCACTGACCCCAGGTGACCCCAGCTGACCCCTCTGTCCCCCAGGTGACCCCGGTGACCCCAGGTGGTCACTGACCCCAGGTGACCCCGGTGACCCCAGCTGACCCCTGTGTCCCTCACTGTCCCCCAGGTGGCCGTGCCCAGGTGAACCAGGTGGTCACTCACCCCTCGCAGCCGCTGACCATCACGGCCAGTGACGACCGCGCCATTCGCTACCTGGACATGCGCACAGGTGGGCGGGGCTCGTTAGGGAAATTAGCGTAACGAGGGCTCATTAAGGGGTCATTAGGGTAACGAGGGGTCATTAGGGGTCATTAGGGGTCATCGGGAGTCATTAATGTAATTATGAGGTCATTAGGGTAATGAGGGGGTCATTAGGAGGTCATTTGGGTAACGAGGTGGTCATTAAGAGGTTATTAGTGTCATTAGGGGGGTTATTACTGAGTCATTAGGGTAATTATGGGGTCATTACGGTAATCAGTGGGTCATTAGGAGGTCATTAGGGTAACGAGGGGGTCATTAAGACCTTATTAGTGTCATTAGAGGGGTTGTTACTGAGTCATTAGGGTAATTATGGGGTCATTAGTGTAATGAGGGGGTCATTAGGAGGTCATTAGGGTAACGAGGGGGTCATTAAGAGGTTATTAGTGTAATTAGGGGGGTCATTAGTGAGTCATTAGGGTAATTATGCGGTCATTAGGGTAGTGAGGGGGTCATTGGTGCCATTGGGGGGGTCATTAGGGTCATTAGGGGGTCATTAGGGGGTCATTGGGCTAATTGGGGGATCACTGGGGTAATTAGGGGGTCATTAGGGGGTCATTAGGGGGTCATTAGGCTGATTGGGGGGTCACTGGGGTAATTAGGGGGTAATTAGGGGGTAATTAGGGGTAATTAGGGGTAATCAGGCCCTGTCCCGCCCCTCACAGGTGCGGTGGTGCACTCGGTGGTCGCTCACCTGGACGCCGTCACCTGCCTGGCCCTGGACAGCAGCGGGGACACCCTGATGTCCGGCAGTGAGTGACCAATGAGTGACCGGTGACCCCTGCGTGACCCTGAGTGACCAATGAGTGACCCTGAGTGACCACTGATGACCAGTGACCCTGAGTGACCAATGAGTCATCAATGAGTGACCACTGAGTGACCAGTGACCCTGAGTGACCCTGAGTGACCACTGAGTGACCCTGAGTGACCAATGAGTGACTAATGAGTGACCAATGAGTGACCGATGAGTGACCAGTGACCCCTGAGTGACCCTGAGTGACCAGTGACTGACCAGTGACCGCTGAGTGACCAATGAGTGACCCGAGTGACCCCTGAGTGACCAATGAGTGACCCTGAGTGACCATGAGTGACCACTGAGTGATCAATGAGTGATCAATGAGTGACCCATGAGTGACCCTGAGTGACCAATGAGTGACCCCTGAGTGACCAATGAGTGACCACTGAGTGACCAATGAGTGACCAATGAGTGGCCCTGAGTGACCCTGAGTGACCCTGAGTGACCAATGAGTGACCAATGAGTGACCCTGAGTGACCAATGAGTGACCCTGAGTGACCACTGAGTGACCAATGAGTGACCAATGAATGACGTTGAGTGACACTGAGTGACCACTGAGTGATCAATGAGTGACCCTGAGTGACCAATGAGTGACCAATGAGTGACCAGTGACCGCTGAGTGACCAATGAGTGATCAATGAGTGACCTCACCTGTCTCACACCTGTGTGTGTCACACCTGTGTCTCTGTCCCCAGGTCACGACTGTTCCCTGTGGCTGTGGCACCTGTGCCAGTGCACCTGAGTGTGTCACACCTGTCACACCTGAGTGTGTCACACCTGTCCTGTCACACCTGTCACACCTGTCTGTTGTCCCCACAGGTCACGACTGCTCCCTGCGGCTGTGGCACCTGTGCCAGCGCACCTGAGTGTGTCACACCTGTCCTGTCACACCTGAGTGTGTCACACCTGTCACACCTGTCACACCTGTCACACCTGTGTGTGTCACACCTGTCACACCTGTGTCTCTCTGTCCCCACAGGTCACGACTGTTCCCTGCGGCTGTGGCACCTGTGCCAGTGCACCTGTGTGTGTCACACCTGTCACACCTGTGTGTGTCACACCTGAGTGTGTCACACCTGTGTGTGTCACACCTGTCACACCTGTGTGTGTCTCACCTGTCACACCTGTGTGTGTCACACCTGTCACACCTGTGTGTGTCACACCTGTCACACCTGTCTGTGTCTCACCTGTCACACCTGTGTGTGTCACACCTGTCCTGTCACACCTGTGTGTGTCACACCTGTCACACCTGTGTGTGTCTCACCTGTCACACCTGTCTGTGTCTCACCTGTCACACCTGTGTGTGTCACACCTGTCTGTCTCCCCCCAGGTCACGACTGTTCCCTGCGGCTGTGGCACCTGTGCCAGCGCACCTGTGTGTGTCACACCTGTCCTGTCACACCTGTGTCACACCTGTCACACCTGTCTGTTGTCCCCACAGGTCACGACTGCTCCCTGCGGCTGTGGCACCTGTGCCAGCGCACCTGAGTGTGTCACACCTGTCACACCTGTGTGTGTCACACCTGTGTCTCTCTCTGTCCCCAGGTCACGACTGCTCCCTGCGCCTGTGGCACCTGTGCCAGCGCACCTGAGTGTGTCACACCTGTCACACCTGAGTGTGTCACACCTGTCACACCTGTGTGTGTCACACCTGTGTGTGTTACACCTGTCACACCTGTGTGTGTCACACCTGTGTATGTCACACCTGTCTGTGTCACACCTGTCACACCTGTCCTGTCACACCTGTCACACTTGTCTGTGTCACACCTGTCACACTTGTGTGTGTCACACCTGTCACACCTGTCACACCTGTGTCTCTGTCCCCACAGGTCACGACTGTTCCCTGCGGCTGTGGCACCTGTGCCAGCGCACCTGAGTGTGTCACACCTGTCACACCTGTCTGTGTCACACCTGTCACACCTGTCACACCTGTCTGTGTCACACCTGTCACACCTGTCTGTCTCTCCCCAGGTCACGACTGCTCCCTGCGGCTGTGGCACCTGTGCCAGCGCACCTGCGTGCAGGAGCTGCCCGCGCACCGCCGGAAGCACCACGAGTCCGTCCTGGCCGTCGCCTTCCACCCGCGGCGGCCCCTCGGGGCCAGTGCCGGCGCCGACGGGCTGGCCAAGGTCCTCGTGTGACACCTGGGACACCTGGCACACCTGGGCACACCTGGGGACACCTGGGGGCACCTGGGCACACCTGGGGACATCCTGGGGACACCTGGGCACACCTGGGCACACCTGGGGACACCTGGGCGCACCTGGGCACACACCTGGGGACAGCTGGGGACAGCTGGAAACACCTTGAGGACACCCTGAGGACATCCTGAAGACACCTGGGCACAGCTGGTGGCACCTGGGCACACCTGGGAACAAGCTGAGGACATCCTGAGGACATCCTGGGGACACCTGGGCAAACCTGGGAACAACCTGAGGACATCCTGGAGACACCTGGGCACACCTGGTGGCACCTGGGAACAACCTGAGGACATCCTGGGGACACCTGGTGGCACCTGGGCACACCTGGGAACAACCTGAGGACATCCTGGGTACACCTGGGTACACCTGGTGGCACCTGGGCACACCTGGAAACACCTTGAGGACACCCTGAGGACACCTGGGCACAGCTGGTGGCACCTGGGCACACCTGGGAACAAGCTGAGGACATCCTGGAGACACCTGGGCACACACCTGGGACACAGCTGGTGGCACCTGGGCACACCTGGTGCTACCTGGAGACAGCTGGACACACCTGGTGGCACCTCGGCTGCAGCTGGGCACACCTGATGGCACACCTGGTGGCACTTGGGCACACCTGGGGACACCCTGAGGACATTCTGGAGATACCTGGTGGCACCTGGACACACCTGGGGGCACCTGGGAACAACCTGAGGACACTCTGGGGACACCTGGGAACACCCTGGTGGCACCTGGGACACACCTGGAGACACCTGGGAACAGCTGTGGACACCTGGGCACACCTGGTGGCACCTGGGCACAGCCAGGAAGGGGACAGGAGGTGGCACTGGGGTGACATCGCTCTGCTGGTGGCACCTGGTGGCATCAGGTGACCTCGGTCACACACCTGAGGTGGCACCTGGACAGGTGAGGTGGCACCTGGGCACACCTGAGGTGGCAAATTTTGGGACAAACTTGGGACAATTTGGGGACTTTTCCCTCCAGGTAAATCCCAAATTTTAGGGATTTTCCCCCATTTTTTTTAGGATTTTTTCCACAATTTTTAAATATTTTTCTCCACCCAGGTAAATCCCAAATTTGGGGCGTTTTTCCCTCCAGGTAAATCCCAAATTTTGATGATTTTCTCCCCAATTTTTTAGGATTTTTTCACCTGGAAAAATCTCAAATTTTGGGATTATTTCCCCCCTAATTTTTATGATTTTTTTCCTCAGAAAAATCAAAAATTTTGGGATTTCACCGCCTGGATAAATCCCAAAATTTAGGGATTCTTTTCCCCCACCAACCCAAAATTTTGGGATCTTTTCCACCCAAATTTTTGGGATATTTTCCCCCAATTTTTGGGATTCCCTAATTTTTGGGATTTTTCCCCAGTTTTTGGGATTTTCCCCCCGAAATTTTGGTGCTTTTTTCCCCAATTTTTGGGATTCCCCCCCCCACCTCCAATTTTTGGGAGTTTCCCCTGATTTTTTTTTTTTTTTATTTTCTCTCCCAAATGTTTGTATTTTCCCACAAAATTTTGGGATTTTTTTTCCACAATTTTTGAGATTTACCCGCAAAATTTTGGGACTTTTCTTTCCTAATTTTTGAAATTTCCCCCCAAAAATTTTGGGATTTTTTTCCCCTAATTTTTGAGATTTCCCCCAAAAATTTTGGGATTTTTTTCCCCTAATTTTTGAGATTTTCACCCCAGAATTTTGGGGATTTTTTCCCCCAATTTTTGAGATTTCCCCCCAGCCAGAATTTTGGGAATTTTCTTTCCCAATTTTTGAGATTTCCCCCCAGAATTTTGGGAATTTTTTTCCCCCAATTTTTGAGATTTCCCCCCAAAAATTCGGGATTTTTTCCCCGATTTTTGAGCTTTCCCCCCAAATTTTGGGATTTTTCCCCTTTGTAAATTTTGTACAGCCGAGAATTCCCCAAAATCCTTTAAAAATCCCCCAAATTCCCTCCAGAATTCCCCAAAATCCGCCCCCCCGGGGGCTGCCGGCGCTGCCTTATCACCGTGTGATAATCGGGGAGCCCCAAATTCCCGAAAATTCCCCCAAAAAAACCCCCGGAATTCCCCAAATTCCCCTTTTTTCACGGCGTTTTCTTGGATATTTATTTGGTGTTTTTTGGGATTTTTGGGGTTTTTGGGGTGGGGGAGGGGCGGCAATAAAAGATTTTGGCAAAAAAGGTGCGGAGGCGCCGAGGGGGGGAGGGGACAAAAATGGGGGAAAAGGGACAAAAATGGGACTAAAAGGGACAAAAATGGGACTAAAAGGGACATTGCCACTGTCACCACCCCCCCAGTGTCCCCAAATCCCCAGAATTGTCCCCAAATCTGCCAAATTGTCCCCAAATCCCTCTCATTGTCCCCAAATCCCCTGAATTGTCCCCAAATCCCCCAAAATTGTCCCCAAATCCCCCAAATTGTCCCCAAATCTTTCCCATTGTCCCCAAATCTTTTCTATTGTCCCCAAATCCCCCAAATCTTCCCCATTGTCCCCAAATCCCCCAAATTGTCCCCAAATCTTTCCCATTGTCCCCAAATCCCCCAAACTGTCCCCAAATACCCCAAATTGTCCCCAAATCCTTCTCATTGTCCCCAAATACCCCAAAATTGAACCCAAATCCCTCTCATTGTCCCCAAAAACCCTTGAACTGTCCCCAAATTTTTCCCATTGTCCCCAAATCCCCCGAACTGTCCCCAAATCTTTCCCATTGTCCCCAAATCGTTCCCATTGTCACGTTCTGTCAGGCGTGGGTTGGGGACATCGGAGGGTGGCACTGGGGGTGGCACTGGGGACACTTGGGGACACTTGGGGACATTGGGGGGGTGGGACAGCAGAGGAGCCACTTGGGGACACAAACCGGGACAGGGACAGGAGGGGACAGGGACAGGGACACCGTAGGGACACTGTGGGGACAGGGACTGGGACAGGGACGTCAATGGTGACAACCGGGGTGGGGACAGGGACAGGAACACCGTGGGGACACCGTGGGGACACTGTGGGGACAGGGACAGGAACTGGGATGGGGACACAGTGGGGACAGGGATGTCAACGGTGACAACCGGGGTGGGGACACTGTGGGGACACCGTGGGGACAGGGACAGGGACATGTGGGGACACCGTGGGGACAGGAACTGGGACAGGGACGTCAATGGTGACAACCGGGGTGGGGACAGGGACAATGTGGGGACACCGTGGGGACACAGTGGGGACAGGGACAGAAACCGGGATGGGGACAGGGACGTCAATGGTGACAACTGGGATGGGGACAGGGACACGAACTGGGACAGGGACACCGTGGGGACACTGTGGGGACAGAAACTGGGACAGGGACAGGGACAGCATGGGGACAGGGACTTCAGTGGTGACAACCGGGATGGGGACAGGGACAGGGACACCGTGGGGACACCGTGGGGACAGGGACTGGGGCAATGGTGACAACTGGGATGGGGACAGGGACAGGGACTGGGACAGTGACAACGTGGGGACACCGTGGGGACAGAAACTGGGACAGGGACACGACAGGGACAGGGACATCAATGGTGACAACCGGGATGGGGACAGGGACAGGGACATGTGGGGACACCGTGGGGACAGGGACGTCACTGGTGACAAGTGGGATGGGGACAGGGACAGGAACTGGGACAGGGACACCGTGGGGACACTGTGGGGACAGAAACTGGGACAGGGACAGGGACACGATGGGGACAAGAAACACAACGGGGACACGGGCGGGAACGGGGACACAATGGGGACACAACGGGGACACGGGACAGGGACAACACCCTGCAGGGGACACCGGGCTGTCCCCAACTGTCCCCAACTGTCCCCAAGGTGTCCCCAGGGGTGTCCCTGTCCCCAGGGTGTGGCTGTGCCATCTGTCCCAGCTGTCCCCAGGGTGTCCCTGCACTGTCCCCAAGTGTCCCCAAGTGTCCCCAAGTGTCCCCAAGTGTCCCCAAGTGTCCCCAGGGTGTCACGGGTCCCCCCCGGGCGGGGCACGGGCCGCCAGCAGCAGCCTCAGGGGCGCGGCCGCGTCGCCGTCGTCGCCGTCGCTGTCGCTGCCGCGCTGCGGCCGCACCATCCGGCCCTGCTGGAGGCTGAAGCGCCGCGCGCGCCGGCTGCGGGACCAGTATAAACCAGTATAAACCAGTATGGACCAGTATAAACCAGTACAGACCGGTATAACCCAGTATGGACTGGTATAAACCAGTATAAACCAGTACAGACCAGTACAAACCAGTACATCCGGCCCTGCTGGAGGCTGAAGCGCCGCGCGCGCCGGCTGCGGGACCAGTACGGACCAGTATAAACCAGTATAAACCAGTACGGAGCAGTATAAACCAGTATAAACCAGTACGGACCAGTATAGACCAGTACAGACCGGTATAAACCAGTACCATCCGGCCCTGCTGGAGGCTGAAGCGCCGCGCACGCCGGCTGCGGGACCAGTATAAACCAGTATAAACCAGTACAAACCAGTACGGACCAGTATAGACCAGTACGGACTGGTATAAACCAGTATAAATCATTACGGACCAGTATAAACCAGTATAAAGCAGTACAGACCAGTACAAACCAGTACATCCGGCCCTGCTGGAGGCTGAAGCGCCGCGCACGCCGGCTGCGGGACCAGTATAAACCAGTATAAACCAGTATAAACCAGTACGGACCAGTATAGACCAGTACGGACTGGTATAAACCAGTATAAATCATTACGGACCAGTATAAACCAGTATAAAGCAGTACAGACCAGTACAAACCAGTACATCCGGCCCTGCTGGAGGCTGAAGCGCCGCGCGCGCCGGCTGCGGGACCAGTATGGACCAGTATAAACCAGTATAAACCAGTATGGACCGGTATAAACCAGTATAAACCAGTATGGACCAGTATGGACCGGTATAAACCAGTATAAATCATTACGGACCAGTATAAACCAGTACATCCGGCCCTGCTGGAGGCTGAAGTGCCGCGCGCGCCGGCTGCGGGACCAGTATGGACCAGTATAAACCAGTATGGACCAGTACAGACCAGTATAGACCAGTATAAACCAGTACGGACCAGTATAAACCAGTATAAACTAGTACAGACCAGTATAAACCAGTATGGACCAGTACATCCGGCCCTGCTGGAGGCTGAAGCGCCGCGCGCGCCGGCTGCGGGACCAGTATAAACCAGTATAAACCAGTATGGACCGGTATAAACCAGTATGGACCAGTATAACTCAGTATAAACCATTACGGACCAGTATAAACCAGTATAAACCAGTACAGACCAGTATAAACCAGTACATCCGGCCCTGCTGGAGGCTGAAGCGCCGCGCGCGCCGGCTGCGGGACCAGTATGGACCAGTATAAACCAGTACAAACCAGTATGGACCAGTATAAACTAGTACAGACCAGTATAAACCAGTACAGACCAGTATAAACCAGTATAAACCAGTACGGACTGGTATAGACCAGTATAGACCAGTATGGACCAGTATAAACTACTACAGACCAGTATAAACCAGTACAGACCAGTATAAACCAGTACATCCAGCCCTGCTGGAGGCTGAAGCGCCGCGCGCGCCGGCTGCGGGACCAGTATGGACCAGTATAAACCAGTATGGACCAGTATGGGCCAGTATGGACCAGTATAACCCAGTATAAACTGGTATAAACCAGTACAGACCAGTATAAACCAGTACATCCGGCCCTGCTGGAGGCTGAAACGCCGCGCGCGCCGGCTGCGGGACCAGTATAAACCAGTATAAACCAGTATGGACCAGCATAAACCAGTATAAACCAGTACGGACCAGTATAAACCAGTATGGGCCAGTATAGACTAGTATAAACCAGTACGGACCAGTATAAACCAGTATAAACCAGTATAAACCATTACGGACTGGTATAAACCATTATGGACTGGTATAGACCAGTATAAACCAATATAAACCAGTATAAACCAGTACAAATCAATAAAAGCCAGTCCAAACCAGTCCAAACTCGTCCAAACCAGTATAAAACCAGTCCAAACCAGTCCAAACCATTCCAAACTATTACAAAGCAATCCAAACAATTCCAAACCAGTCCAAACCAGTACAAACCAGTACAAACCAGTCCAAACCAGACCAAACCAGTACAAAGCAGTCCAAACCAGTCCAAACCAGTCCAAACCAGTACAAACCAGTATGGGCGCCGCTCCTCGGGGCTGAGGCTGCGCCAGAGCTGGGCCAGGTCCCGCGTGGCGGCCGTGGAGGTCAGGCCGGGGATGGCACTGCCACCAAATGCCACCAAATGCCACCAAATGCCACCAAAGTGCCACCAAATGCCACCAAAGGGACACCAAAGTGCCACCGAAGGGACACCAAAGTGTCATGAAAGTGTCACCAAAGGGACACCAAAGTGACACCAAAGTGACACCTCAGTGTCACCTCAGTGCCACAACCCCCCCACCCCCACCCCGTGTCCCCTCCCCAATGTCCCCAGTGTCCCCAATGTCCCCCCAATGTCCCCAATCCCCCCCAATCCCCCCAATGTCCCCAATGTCCCCAAATGTCCCCAATGTCCCCAATGTCCCCAACCCCCCCAATGTCCCCAAATGTCCCCAATGTCCCCAACCCCCCCAATGTCCCCAATGTCCCCAATGTCCCCAATGTCCCCAATCCCCCCAATGTCCCCCCAATGTCCCCAATGTCCCCAATGTCCCCAATCCCCCCAATGTCCCCCCAATGTCCCCAATGTCCCCAATCCCCCCAATGTCCCCCCAATGTCCCCCAATGTCCCCAATCCCCCCAATGTCCCCAACCCCCCCAATGTCCCCGATGTCCCCAGTGTCCCCAATGTCCCCAATGTCCCCAATGTCCCCAATGTCCCCAATGTCCCCGATGTCCCCAAGTGTCACCTCATGTACTCGCGGCGGTTCACGCGGCAGAACATGATGAAGCCGTTGACGCACTTGCGCTTGCGGGGACGTCCCTGTCCCTGTCCTTGTCCCTGTCCCTGTCCTTGTCCTTGTCCTTGTCTTTGTCCTTGTCCTTGTCCCCATCCCTGTCCCTGTCCCTGTCCCCGGCCCCGTCCCTGTCCCCGGCCCCGGCCCCGTCCTTGTCCCTGTCCCTGTCCCTGTCCCCGGCTGTGGGTCCCCTCGGGGCCACCGGAGCCCGATGGGTCCTGTGGGGACAGGGGACAGTGAGGTGGCACCGGGGTGGCACCAGGGTGACACCGGAGAGAGGGGGAGGGTGACAATGAGGCTGACACTGAGAGCAGGGAGGTGACACCAAGGTGGCACTGGAGAGAGGGCGAGGGTGACAAGGAGGGTGACACTGGGGTGGTGAGGGTGGCACTGGGGTGGCACCGAGGTGGCACCAGAGAGAGGGGGAGGGTGACAAGGAGGGTGACAATGAGGGTGACACTGAGAGCAGGGAGGTGACACCAGGGTGACACTGGGGTGGCACCGAGGTGGCACCAGAGAGAGGGCGAGTGTGACAATGAGGGTGACAATGAGGATGACAAGGAGGGTGGCACTGGGGTGACACCGGGGTGGCACTGGAGAGAGGGGGAGGGTGACAAGAAGGGTGACAAGGAGGGTGACACTGGGGTGGCACCAGGGTGACACTGGGGTGGCACCAGAGAGAGGGGGAGTGTGACAATGAGGGTGACAATGAGAGCAGGGAGGTGACACCAGGGTGGCACTGAGGTGGCACTGGGGTGGCACTGGAGAGAGGGCGACAGTGACAATGGGAAGGTGACAATGAGGTGGCATTGAAGGGGAGGTGACACCAGGGAGGTGACACTGGGGAGGTGACAATGAGGTGGCATTGAAGGGGAGGTGACAACGGGGTGGGAGGTGACACTGGGCAGGTGACACCAGGGAGGTGACAACGGGGTGGGAGGTGACACCGGGGAGGTGACAATGAGGTGGCAGGTGACACCAGGGAGGTGACAACGGGGAGGTGACACTGGGGGTGACACCAGGGTGGCATTGAAGGGGAGGTGACAACGGGGTGGGAGGTGACACCAGGGAGGTGACACCGGGGAGGTGACACTGAGAAGGTGACAATGAGGTGGGAGGTGACACCGGGGAGGTGACACCGGGGGCTGGTGACACGGAGGTGACACGGAGGTGACACAGAGGTGACACAGAGGTGACACAGAGGTGACACCGAGGGGACCTCACCCACCTGGGGGCTGAGCTGCGCATCCGGGAACAGCTCTGGAGGGGGGGGAGGGGACACAAAGTGACACTTGGAGGGGGGAGGGGACATCCCCGGACCCCCAACTCCCCTCCCCAAAAAAACCCCAACAAAAATAACCCCAAAAATCTCCCCAATCCCCCCCAAAAATCTCATTTTTTTTCCCCTAAATCTCCCCCAAAAAACAACAAAAAAACACAGAAAAAACCCCCAAAAGACCCAAATTTCCCCCAATCCCACCAAAATTAATAATAATAAAAAAAAACCAAACCCAAAAGCCCCAAATTCCACCAAAATCCCCCCAAATCCTCCAAAGAAACACATTAAAAAACCCCCAAAAAAACCAATTTCCCTCAATCCCTCGGAAAAAACCCTCAAAAACCCCAAAAGGCCCCAACCCCCCCAAAACTGCCAAATTTCATCGAAACCCCCCCCCAAAACTACCAAATTTCATCAAAACCCCCCCAAAACTGCCAAATTTCATCAAAACCCCCCCAAAACTGCCAAATTTCATCAAACCCCCCCAAAACTGCCAAATTTCAGTGAACCCCCCCCCAAAACTGCCAAATTTCAGTGAAACCCCCCCAAAAAACCACCAAAAAAAACCCTAAAAAATCAAATTTCCCCCAATTCCTCCTCAAAATGCCTCAAAAATAACCCCCAAAAACCCCAAAAAAAAACCCCAAAAAAGGGAATTTCCCCTCCCCCACCTCTGACGATGCCCTCGGGGGGCTCGGGGGGCTCGGGGGGGGTGAAGAGGGAGGGGCTGAGCCCCAGGACCCCCCCCCGGGGCTGGGGGGGGCTCAGGGGGGGCTCCCAGTCCGGCCCAGTTTGGCAGAGCCAGGGACTGGTGTCCCCCTCCCCCTCCTCATCCTCCTCTTCCTCCTCCTCTTCCTCCTCTTCTTCCTCCCTGATGGACACCCCAAAATTATGCAGCCAAAAAAACCCCAAAAAAAAACAACCAAAAAACCCCAAAAACCCCAAAATTTGAACTCAAAAACCACAAAGAAATCCAAATTTTGCACCGAAAAAAATAACTCCGAAATTTTCCCGAAGCCCCAAAATTTCACCTCGGAAACACAAAGAAAAGACAAAAAAAAAAAATCTCAGAATTTCAGCAAAAAAAACCAAAAAAAGGTCAGAAATTTTTCCCCAAAAACCTCTACGAGATCCAAACCCAAAAACCCCAAATTTCCCTTCAAAAACACAAACCTCCCGCCGCGAAATTTCACCAAGAAATAAACCCAAAAAAGCTCCAAAATTTTCCCCCGAAACCTCCAAATTTTCCCCCAAAAAAGCTCCAAAATTTCCCCCCAAAACATCCAAAATTTCCCCCCAAAACATCCAAAAATTTCCCCCCAAAACATCCCCAAAAACCTCCAATTTTTTTCCTCAAAACCCCCCAAAACCCCTCAAAATGCCACTAAAAAAACCCCCAAATTTTCCCCAAAAAACTCCCAAAATTTAACCTCTAAAACCCCAAACTTCCCCTAAACTCTCCCCCCCCCAAAAAAGCCCCAAATGTCCCCAAATGTCCCCAAATGTCCCCAAATGTCCCCAAATTTCCCACCTGGGCTCGGTGTCCCCAAGGTTTGGGGGGGGCGGCTCCGAGGGGTCCCCACAAGGGGGGAGGCCTGGGGGGGATTTTGGGGGATTTAAAGGGGATTTTGGGTTTTTTTTTGGGGGGGTCTGGGGGGTTTAAAGGGGATTTGGGGGGGTTTAAAGGGGATTTTGGGGTTTTTTGGGGGGGTCTGAGGGGTTTAAAGGGGATTTTGGGGGGTTGGGATAATTTGGGGAGGGGTCCGGGGGGGTCTAAAGGGGATTTTGGGGAGTTTAAAGGGGATTTTGGGGGTTTTGGAGGGGTCTGAGGGGTTTAAAGGGGATTTTGGGGGGAGTTTAAAGGGAATTTTGGGGGTTTTTGGGGGGCTCTGAGGGGTTTAAAGGGGATTTTTGGGGAGTTTAAAGGGGATTTTGGGGGATTTAAAGGGGATTTTGGGTTTTTTGGCGGGGGTCCGGGGGGTTAAAGGGAATTTTGGGGGATTTAAAGGGGATTTTGGGTTTTTTTGGGGGGTCTGAGATGTTTAAAGGGGATTTAGGGGGATTTAAAGGGGATTTTGGGGTTTTTTGGGGGGGTCTGAGGGGTTTAAATGTGATTTTTGGGGGGTTAAAGGGGATTTTGGGGGAGTTTAAAGGGGATTTTGGGGGGGTTTAAAGGGGATTTTTGGGATTTTTGGGAGGTCGGGATAATTTGGGGTGGGGTTCAGGGGGTTGAAAGGGGATTTTGGGGGATTTAAAGGGGATTTGGGGTTTTTTTGGGGGGTCTGAGGGGTTTAAAGGGGATTTTCAGGGGGTTTAAAGGGGATTTTGGGGTTTTTTGGGGGGGTCCGGGGGGGGTCTAAAGGGGATTTTGGGGTTTTTTTGGGGGGTCTGAGGGGCTGAAAGGGGATTTTGGGGAGTTTAAAGGGGATTTGGGGAGTTTAAAGGGGATTTTGGGGGATTTAAAGGGGATTTGGGGTTTTTTTGGGGGGTCAGGATAATTTGGGGAGGGGTCTAAAGGGATTTCAGAGGGTTCCAGTCTAAAATTGGGGGGGGGATCCCTAAACTGGGGAGGGGTCCCTAAATTGGAGAAAGATGCCAAATTGGGGAGGGGGTTCCTGAATTTGGGGAGGGGTCCCAAATTTGGGGGGTGTCCAGAATTTGGGGGGGTATCCAGAATTTGGGGAGGGGTCCGGAATTTGGGGGGGGTCCTGAATTTGGGGGGGGGCCGGAATTTGGGGGGGTTCCTGAATTTGGGGAGGGGTCCCGAATTTGGGGGGGTTCCTGAATTTGGGGAGGGGTCCCGAATTTGGGGGGGGTCCGGAATTCGGGGGGGTTCCTGAATTTGGGGAGGGGTCCCGAATTTGGGGAGGGGTCCCGAATTTGGGGAGGGGTCCCGCTGACCTGCGGCCGCCCGCGCCGCCCTCACGCGCTCCTGCAGGAACTCCAGGTAAGAGATGACGTTCTGCAGCACCTGAACCTGGGGACAGGAGGGACACCTGTGTCACCTGTGTGTGTCACCTGGGTCACCTGTGTGACCTGTGTGTGTCACCTGTGTCACCTGTGTCACCTCCTGTGTCACCTCTGTGTGTCACCTGTGTCACCTGTGTGACCTTTGTCATCTGTGTTACCTGTGTCACCTGTGTCACCTCTGTCACCTGTGTGTCACCTGTCCTGTGTCACCTGGGTCACCTGGGTCACCTCTGTGTGTGACCTGTGTCACCTGTACCACCACCTGTGTCACCTGTGTGTCACCCCCTGTGTCACCTGAGTGTCACCTGTGTCATCTGTCAGTGTCACCTGTGTCACCTCCTGTGTCACCTGTGTCACCTCTGTGTGTCACCTGTCACCTGTGTGTCACCTGTGTCACCTGTGTCACCTGTGTCACCTGTGTCACCTGTGTGTGTCACCTGTCAGTGTCACCTGTCCCCCCAATGTCCCCTCAATGTCCCCCCAATGTCCCCAACCCCCCCAATGCCCCCAATGTCCCCAATGTCCCCAATGTCCCCAATGTCCCCAATGTCCCCAATGTCCCCAATGCCCCCAATGTCCCCAATGTCCCCATTAATGTCCCCAATGTCCCCAATGTCCCCAATCCCCCCAATGTCCCCATTAATGTCCCCAATGCCCCCAATGTCCCCAATGTCCCCAATGTCCCCAATCCCCCCAATGTCCCCAATGTCCCCAATGTCCCCCCAATGTCCCCCCAATCCCCCCAATGTCCCCAATGTCCCCAATGTCCCCAATGTCCCCAATGTCCCCAATGTCCCCAATGCCCCCAATGCCCCCAATGTCCCCATTAATGTCCCCAATGTCCCCAAGTGTCCCCCCAATGTCCCCCCAATCCCCCCAATGCCCCCAATGCCCCCAATGTCCCCAATGTCCCCAATGTCCCCAATGTCCCCAATCCCCCCAATGTCCCCAATGTCCCCAATGTCCCCAATGTCCCCAATCCCCCCAATCCCCCCAATGCCCCCAATGCCCCCAATGTCCCCAATGTCCCCAATGTCCCCATTGACCTCAATGTCCCCAATGTCCCCAATGTCCCCAATGTCCCCAATGCCCCCAATGCCCCCAATGCCCCCAATGTCCCCAATGTCCCCAATGTCCCCTCGCTGTCCCCCCGTACCTCGGATCGTGCCCCTCCCCCGCCGCGGGGCCATGGCACCAACTGGGACAGTTCGGGCAGGAGCGAGCGCCAGTGCCGGGGGGAGCTGGGGACATTTGGGGACATTGGGGACATTTGGGGACAGCGACATCATTGGGGACATTTGGGGACATTGAGGGGATTGCGGACATTGGGGACATTGGGGACATTGGGGGCATTGGGGGGATTGGGGGGATTGGGGGGATTGGGGACATTGGGGGCATTGGGGACATTGGGGACATTTGGGGACATTTGGGGACATTTGGGACATTGGGGACATGGGGGGGACACTGGGGACATTGGGGACATTGGGGACATTGGGGGCATTGGGGGGACATTGGGGGGACATTGGGGACATTGGGGACATTGGGGACATCGGGGGGATTGGGGGGGTTGGGGGGACATTGGGGGGACATTGGGGACATTGGGGGGGTTGGGGGGACATTGGGGGGACATTGGGGACATTGGGGACATTGGGGGCATTGGGGGCATTGGGGGGACATTGGGGGGACATTGGGGACATCATTGGGGACGTTGGGGACATTGGGGACATTGGGGACATTGTGTCCCCCCTCACCGGTGCCACTCTCCGGGGCTGCCGCAGGTCGGGGGCTCCATCCTGGGGGGTCCCGTTCCTTTTTTTGGGGGGTCTTGACCCCTATTTTGGGGGGTCCCGACCCTTTTTTGGGGGTCCTGACCCTTTTTTTGGGGTCCCGATCCCTTTTTTGGGGTCCCGATCCCATTTTGGGGGTCCCAATCCCCATTTTGGGGGTCCCGACCCTTTTTGGGGGTCCCGATCCCTTTTTTGGGGGTCCCGATCCCATTTTCGGGGTCCCGACCCCTTTTTTGGGGGGTCCCGACCCCTTTTTGGGGGTCCCGACCCTTTTTTGGGGGTCCTGACCCTTTTTTGGGTGTCCCGATCCTTTTTTGGGGGTCCCGACCCTTTTTTGGGGGGTCCCGATCCTTTTTTGGGTGTCCCGATCCCTTTTTTGGGGGTCCCAATCCCCATTTTGGGGGTCCCGATCCTTTTTTGGGGGGTCCCGATCCCATTTTTGGGGGTCCCAATCGCCATTTTGGGGGTCCCGATCTCTTTTTTTGGGGGTCCCGACCCCTTTTTGGGGGTCCCAATCGCCATTTTGGGGCCCTTCCCGGCCCTGCAATTGGGGCAGGCCTTGGGGGCTTTTTGTGGGTGCAAATTTTGGGGTGGGGTCCCAATTTTTGGGGTGAAGGCCCAATTTAGGGTGGGGGTCCCAATTTTGGGGTGGGACCCCAATTTTGGGGGTGCGGGCCTCAATTTTTTGGGGTGACTCCCCCCCCCCCCCTTCGCACCTCGCAGCCCGTGGCTCGCGCGGGAGGGCGTGGCCAGAGGGAGCGGCTGCGCTGATTGGACGAGGCCACAAACGGGGCGTGGCTTGGGCCGTACCATGTTGAGATGGAGGGGGAGATCCCGGGTGTCTATTTTGAGGGGGTGGTCCCGATATTTGGGGTGTCTCGGGTTCCCTGGAAGGATTTTTGGGGTGTTTTCCCCATATTTGGGGTGTCTCGGTTCCCTGGAAGGATTTTTGGGGTGTTTTCCCCATATTTTGGGGGTTCCCCTTCCCCCCCGTCGTCTCGTCGCGCTCTTTCTCGCGTGACGTCAGAGAAGGGGCGTGGCCAAGCGCGGGAGGGAGAAGGCCACGCCCCTTTCGGCGTCGCGCGTCGGTGACGTCACTACGGCGCGCGGGGGGAGCGGCGGCGCGCGCGGGAGGCGGTGAGGGGGTGGGGATCGATAGGGGATCGATAGGGGGGCGATAGGGCATCGATAGGGGATCGATAGGGGGTCTATAGGGGTGGGGAGGGGGCTCGGGGCTCTGGGGGGGTCTGGGGGGCGGCGGGAGAGCGCGGCTGAAGGGCGCGATAGGGATCGATAGGGGGGCGATAGGGGATCGATAGGGGGTCTATAGGGGGTCTATAGGGGGTCTGTAGGGGTGGGGAGGGGGCTCGGGGCTCTGGGGGGGTCTGGGGGGCGGCGGGAGAGCGCGGCTGAGGGGCGCGATAGGGATCGATAGGGGATCGATAGGGGGGCGATAGCGGATCGATAGGGGGTCTATAGGGGGTCTATAGGGGTGGGGAGTGGGCTCGGGGCTCTGGGGGGGTCTGGGGGGCGGCGGGAGAGCGCGGCTGAGGGGCGCGATAGGGATCGATAGGGGATCGATAGGGGGGCGATAGGGGATCGATAGGGGGGCGATAGCGGATCGATCGGGGGTCTATAGGGGGTCTATAGGGGTGGGGAGGGGGCTCGGGGCTCAGGGGGGTCTGGGGGGCGGCGGGAGAGCGCGGCTGGGGGGAGCGATAGGGATCGATAGGGGATCGATAGGGGATCGATAGGGGGGCGATAGGGGCTGTAGGGGATCTATGGGGTCTGGGGTCTCTCCCTTTTTAGGGTCTGGGGTCCCTGTCTGTGGGGTCTGGGGTCTCTATGGGGTCTCTATGGGGTTTGGGGTCTCTCCCTTTTTAGGGTCTAGGGTCCATTTGGGGTCTGGGGTCTCTATAGGGTCTCTATGGGGTCTCTGTGGGGTCTGGGGTCTCTGTCTGTGGGGTCTGGGGTCCCTTTGGGGTCTGGGGTCTCTATGGGGTCTCTATGGGGTCTGGTGTCTCTCCCTTTTTAGGGTCTGGGGTCCAATTGGGGTCTGGGGTCTCTATGGGGTCTCTATGGGGTCCCTTTGGGGTCTGGGGTCTCTATGGGGTCTCTATGGGGTCTCTATGGGGTCTGGTGTCTCTCCCTTTTTAGGGTCTGGGGTCCAATTGGGGTCTGGGGTCTCTATGGGGTCTCCCTGTTTAGGGTCTGGGGTCTCTATGGGGTCTGGGGTATCTGTATATGGGGTCTGGGGTCTCTCCCTGTGGGGTCTGGGGTCCCTTTAGGGTCTGGGGTCTCTTTCTGGGGTTTCTCTCCATGGGGTCCCTGTGAGATCTCTCCCTGTTTGGGGTCTGGGGTCTCTATTTAGGGTCTGGGGTCTCTGTGGGGTCTCTATGGGGTCTCTCTGTTTTTAGGGTCTGGGGTCTCTATGGGGTCTCTGTTTAGGGTCTGGGGTCTCTGTGGGGTCTCTCTGTTTTTAGGGTCTGGGGTCTCTATGGGGTCTCTGTTTAGGGTCTGGGGTCTCTGTGGGGTCTCTCTGTTTTTAGGGTCTGGGGTCTCTATGGGGTCTCTGTTTAGGGTCTGGGGTCTCTGTGGGGTCTCTCTGTTTTTAGGGTCTGGGGTCTCTATGGGGTCTCTGTTTAGGGTCTGGGGTCTCTCTGTTTTAGGGTCTGGGGTCTCTATGGGGTCTCTCTGTTTTTAGGGTCTGGGGTCTCTATGGGGTCTCTGTTTTTAGGGTCTCTCTGTTTTTAGGGTCTGGGGTCTCTATGGGGTCTCTATTTAGGGTCTGGGGTCTCTGTGGGGTCTCTATGGGGTCCCTATTTGGGGTCTGGGGTCTCTATTTGGGGTCTCTCTGTTTTAGGGTCTGGGGTCCGTGGGACCATGTCCGGGGCTCAGGGGGGGCTCAGCCCCCGCCCCAGTGAGGAGGGGCCCGGCAGCGACGGCAGGAGCACCTCGGAACGGGTAAAATGGGGTGAAAAACGGGGAAAATGGGAAAAATGGGGGAAAAAATGGGAAAAATGGGGGTGGGAGGGACGGCAGGAGCACCTCGGAACGGGTAAAAAAACCGGGAAAATGGGAAAAATGGGGTAAAAAACGGGAAAAACGGGAAAAATGGGGGTGGGAGGGACGGCAGGAGCACCTCGGAACGGGTAAAAAAACCGGGAAATCGGGAAAAATGGGGGAAATGGGGTAAAAATGGGAAAAACGGGGTAAAAATTGGAAAAACAGGGTAAAAATTGGAAAACCGGGGTAAAAAATGGGAAAATGGGGTAAAAAATGGGAAAAATGGGGGTGGGAGGGACGGCAAGAGCACCTCAGAACGGATAAAAATGGGTTGAAAAATGGGGAAAATGGGAAAAATGGGAAAAATAGGAAAAATGGGAAAAATGGGGGTGGGAGGGACGGCAGGAGCACCTCAGAACAGGTAAAAATGGTGTAAAAATGGAAAATTGGAAAAATGGGGTGAAAAACAGGAAAAATGGGAAAAATGGGGTGAGAAATGGGGTAAAAATGGGAAAAACAGAGTGAAAAATGGGGAAAATGGGGTAAAAAACGGGAAAGACGGGGTGAAAAATGGGGAAAATGGGGTAAAAATCGGGAAAATTGGGGTAAAAATGGGGAAAATGGGAAAAATGGGGTGAAAATGGAAAAAATGGGGTAAAAAATGGGAAAAATGGGGTGGAAAATGGGAAAAACGGGAAAATGGGGTGGAAAACAGGAAAAATGGGAAAAATGGGGGTGGGAGGGATGGGAGGAGCAGCTCAAAACGGGTGAAAAATGGGGAAAATGGAAAAAATTGGGAAAAAAACTTGAAAAAGTGGGAAAAATGGGGAAAATGGGAATGGGAGGGGTGGGAGGAGCAGCTCAGAATGGGTGGAAAAATGGGAAAAAATGGGCAAAAATGGGCAAAAATGGGGAAAATTCCATGTGCAGGTGGTGGATCTGCTGAACCAGGCGGCGCTGATCGGGAACGAGGGAAAAATCACCATCCTGAAACAGGTGAGATTGGGCAAAAAATGGGATTTTGGGGGAAAAAAATGGGATTTTGGGGGAAAAAATGGGATTTTGGAGGGGAAAATGGGATTTTGGGGGGAAAAAATGGGATTTTGGGGGGGAAAATGGGATTTTGGGGGAAAAATGGGTTTTTTGGGGGGAAAAAATGGGATTTTGGGGGGAAAAATGGGATTTTGGGGGGGAAAATGGGTTTTTGGGGGGAAAATGGGATTTTGGAGGGGGGAATGGGACTTTGGGGGGAAAAAATTGGATTTTGGGGGAAAAAATGGGATTTTGGGGGGAAAAAATGGATTTTGGGGGGAAAAATGATATTTTGGGGGGGGGGAAATGGGATTTTGGGGGAAAAATGGGATTTTGGGGCAGGAAAATTGGGATTTGAGGTGGAAAAAGGTGGAATTTAGAGGGGTTTAAGGGGAAAAATTGGGATTTAGAGCGGGAAAATTGGGATCTGGGTGGGGAAAAGTGGAATTTTGGTCAGATTTTGGGGGGAAAAGTTGGGATTTGGGGCAGGAAAATTGGGATTTTGGGAGGAATGGGTGGGGAAAAATGGAATTTAGGGGTGGAGTGAGGGGAATTTGGGCCACAAAAGGGAATTTAGGGGGGAAAATTGAGATTTGAGGTGGGAAAAATGGAATTTAGGGGGTTTGTGGGGAAAAATTAGGATTTAGGGCAGGAAAATTGGGATTTGGGTGGGGAAAAGTGGAATTTCGGTCAGATTTTGTGGGGAAAATTTGGGATTTGGGTGGGAAAATTGGGATTTTGGGAAGGAATAGGTGGGGAAAAATGGAATTTAGGGGTGGAGTGAGGGGAATTTGGGCCACAAAAGGGAATTTAGGGGTGAAAATTGAGATTTGAGGTGGGAAAAGTGAGGGAAAAGGTGGAATTTAGGGGGGTTTGGGGGGAAAATTTGGATTTAGGGGGAGAAAAATTGGGATTGGGGTGGGAAATGGGATTTGGGAGGAGGTGGCTCTGTCCCCACGATGTCCCCACGGTGTC